AGTCAACAGCAGTGGAATCTCATCAACAAAGCTTTGTATCTTTATACATAAGCAAGACAGAATGGTGCTTACCTGATCCAGTACAAACTGGGCATGTCTTAATAATGAGTCTTCAGTGAGACTGGACAGTCCAGTAGGGGGCACTGTGGTCTAGGAAGAAAAACATAAACATTGGTAATCCAGGAAAAAGTCTCCAAGGCTCTTCATGACTTGAATAAATCTTTTGAAAGCGAGCTAAATACAGTGTGATGGATGAACAAATGGCAGGACATAGAAGGATTTGACAAACACTGAATGCCTCTGCCATAGAAAACTACCACACATATTATTTTAATGCATGACCTTGTGAGAGGCATCATACAGTACCTGTATTTTGTTGAGGAGATCCTCGTATGTAGCCTCTTGGTTGTTCTGTAGAAATTCAATGACCACTTTACTCATGTGAATCTTCTCCCTCATCGTGTCCATATAAGGTTGATAAGCCTCACTGGGGGACATCAAGATGTACTCCGCATAGCCTAAAAATAGAAAAATCTTAATCTGTAGTTTCAATGATTTCTTCTAGGGAAATCCAGAATGCACTCCACAGAGCCTAAATAAGTAGAAATCTTAATAAACATGGAATGATAGATTGTTCTTCATATAGCCTTAATATACAGAAATCTTAATCTATAGGGATTGTCAGAATACATAGTGCATATCCTATTGTCTCAACCAGGCAAGATAAGCCACTATAGGATCTCAAGTTACTTTGGAATGAACTCACTCAAAATCTTAAACCTGGTCCCTAATCCAGGAAATGTAGGTTATATCCATTCAAAGTAAGTCATGAAGTGCACATCTAATAATCCACAATCTATGTAAACTAAGTCAAGTTAGAGTTTATACTTTATTTGGGAATGAAATTGCTCCTAAATTTTTAACAGGGATGCTGATGCCAGAGGTATAACTTAAGGTCATCATCCACAATCTACGGAAAAGTGGGATATCGAATCAAATTACACATGGCTAACATTTTATTACCTATACAGTTTTACCCTTTACCTGTTATTTAAACCTTTAACTATGCTATGACCCTGTAGTACTCTAACATTTTATTACCTATACAGTTTTACCCTTTACCTGTTATGTAAACCTTTAACTATGCTATGACCCTGTAGTACTCTAATATTTTATTACCTATACATTTTATTACCTATACAGTTTTACCCTTTACCTGTTATGTAAACCTTTAACTATGCTATGACCCTGTAGTACTCTAACATTTTATTACCTATACAGTTTTACCCTTTACCTATTATTTAAACCTTTAACTATGCTATGACCCTGTAGTACTCTAACATTTTATTACCTATACAGTTTTACCCTTTACCTGTTATGTAAACCTTTAACTATGCTATGACCCTGTAGTACTCTAACATTTTATTACCTATACAGTTTTGCCCTTTACCTATTATTTAAACCTTTAACCAGAGCTGCCAACATTCTGAAATGAAAAATAGTAAGGCATGGTCCGGGGACCGCCCCAGCCCCCTGCCGCTGAAGATGTTTTGTAAATGGACATGCAATCGGAGGAATTTGAGGCACGTTTCCATTTTGTTTACTTAAAAACATTGACATGAATGCGATCGGCCATCTAAAATCGAAACGACGATAAAAGCAACCAATGTAAGGATTATAAATATTTAATTATAATAGTAGAAACTGCAGACGACCAGTTATGAAAATCCCGGTATTATAAACTTTGATGGAGAAAAACTGAAATCGGAAGAATATAGAGAGAAATCGTAAGGCGTATTTTGGATGCTAATTTCGTAAGACTTACGCCAAAATCGTAAGGGTTGGCAGCTCTGCTTTAACTATGCTATGACCCTGTAGTACTCTAACATTTTATTACCTGTACAGTTTTACCCTTTACCTGTTATGTAAACCTTTAACTATGCTATGACCCTGTAGTACTCTAACATTTTATTACCTGTACAGTTTTACCCTTTACCTGTTATGTAAACCTTTAACTATGCTATGACCCTGAAGTACTCTACCCTTTCCACAATACCAGGTACCACTTACCTGTCCTGTGTACTTCTTTATAGATGATTACCTGTACTAAATCCAATGAGAGCATTTTCCCCTCCATCAAATCCTGCAGTCCACCATTCATTGATTGGACCCAACTTACAAGCTGGTATGCCCCCTTAAATATCAATATAGATGTACTTAATTTCACAAGAGACATAATCAAGGAAAAATATGCTAAATAGAGGATTATACCAAACAAGTGGAGTACCGTATAGCAGGTTTTCTTGGCGGATGTAAAATTTAGCGTTTTGTCTGCTCAAAGGTAAGCCAATAATTTCAGCGTAATTTATTTTAACGGACACTGGGTTTCAGCTCTTTCCAGATGGACACTTAAAAGAGTACTTACTATTTTAGCTATGAATAATTTAATTTTAGTTGTAACACGTCATTTGATTGGTTAAACGGTTTTATCCATTTTGTATAACATAACTTGCCTACGTCACAATGAGTTACATCAAAAACGTATTACTCCGCTGGACGTTAATTTTAAAATAATGCTCAATTTGAAGCCCTTTTCCGGAGGAAATATTGTCTAATTGTCTACCCTGAAATTAAATTATAAGGAATGAAGCTAATTTCAACTTATGTTATCCGATATAACAAAACTTGGGGCAGTTTACGCTTTCTTATAAACCGCTTCGCAGTTTATAAAGCGTAAACTGCCCCAAGTTATATTATATCGAGTAACATAAGTTGAAATAAGCTTCATTCCTTAAATATTTTCGCAGATTATCATCCAAACGCCAAAATTAGCACCCCGCTAAAATAACCTACTATACGGTATTTAATGGTACACAAATTTAGCAGTACATCCTTAAAAATCAATAAACATATTTTAGCGAGAAGCAAATGCCAAAATTGAATCCTTGCTATAAATTCTGCTTATTCAGTAAAACGTTTAATATAATGTGATAGTTACCCTCTGGACTGGAGTTTTCATCATAGATGGGTTTAACAACTCCACTGAAGTAAAGGTATATGTTCTTCTCTATTAGCCCCGTGTCAAATGGACAAAGGTGGGTATTCTTATCATATACACTGAAAGGACAAAATAATTTCAAAATCTTTGAAACAAGTCTGCATTATCTGAGATTTTCGATCTTTTTTTATCATCAGACAACAGACTGGTCTTCAGTTTTACCTGAAGTTTGTGATTTTATGTTGAGGTCTCTGATCGTAGCTGTGAATTTCTTCCTCTTCCCCAGTAAACACAGAAAGCTTTGGATCAGTCAGGGCTATAAATTCTTCTACCTTAATAAAATCGTACATGAAAATTCTTACAAATATGAATTTTTGTTAATCTAATTCTGTTTCTTGCATTCGTCTTTGGGAAACCAGCACTGTTCTCTAAAACTTTCTTGATTTCGAGTGCTGATTTGATTTTTCTATTTTTTTATGTTTGTCAATTTTTAACCCTTAATAAATGTACTAAGGACGTACTGCTGTATCGGGGTCTCCTGGAAACATCCTCAGATCCGGGTCGTCCAGTAATTGTTTACATTCCCGACACTTGGCAGGTGGTGCTTTAGGTTTGGCAGGGGGAGCTTTAGGTCTGGTCTTTTCTTCTACATTCTTTTCATCTCTTAAGATATATTTTAATTCAAAATAATTTTCTGTACGAAAAATATTAAGGTTTTTTTTAAGATATTCACAATTATAAAAGCACTGCAATATTTCTTAACAAGAGGCCCTAGGGCCTTGAATCGCTCTTCTGATAAATTGTACAATCTATCACTTCTATTAGAAGCCTCCAACTCTATTAGAATCATAAGACCCAAAATGCATCAACTTACAAAGTTTGATAATATTCAGCCAGTTAAGACTGAAGATATTATAATATAATTATATCAAAGTACTGAGACAGTACTGAAAGACGGGGTCAAAATAATTTTCATGCTAGATTTCACAAATGTGATTTTTGTAACGATTTTCGATAATTTTATTTAATTAACAAACTAAAAACAAAGCTGTGAATAATTTAAATTCGCGTTTTTCATTTAATTTGAAGTAGAAACTTCAAAAATTGCTAATTCTAGAAACCTTTTTGAATTGTCTGAATTTCACCTGGTCCGAATTAATATTTCTCCGGAAGTAAACAATGGATGATGCGTACGCAGTCGTAATACTACGCCGGAAAGTACTACTTTGTTTACTAGTGTGTTTTATGATTAATATTTTGAGTTTTCGTGTACAAAATGCTTCATTAATTTCATTTATAAAAAAGTTCATATCACTTTCTTCAGTTTGATACAGAATGTTTATATTTTGATCAAAACAATTTCTGCACTCTTTCATAAAGCGTAGATTTAAAGGTACTTGGACACAGATTTGAAGTTAATATTTTCTCATTTTTTCTGTATAATATCACGAATTATATATTTTAATAGCATTTCACACAAAAATTAATTAAAAATCTTATTTCATTTAAAAGTTATTAAAACTTAAAATTTTTTGGCGGGTTTGATTGACACATCCTTGCACTTTCACAAATTTTAACTTTTTTCTTAATCCTTAGGAAAAGTGGCAATTTTGATGTGTTTTAATGAGAAATATTAAAACTTTTATCAAGAAAAATAATTTTATTCAGAGTAGAAATATTAGAAAGCAAAACACCTTCACAAGTATCGTCATTCCGAACTAAGAGATGCGTACAGAGTTCAGCAAATCGTGCACACTCGTGTTATGTACACAGTTTTTGTAAACAGGGCTCGAGTTCTGTTATTGTTTATATTTAGAAATCACCGGGTGCGTTCAATCGTCACAGTCTGCTTAGCACAACTGCACGGACTGACAATATATTGTGTGTTTGTTTTGCTTTCGAACGTGTCTACTCTGAATTTTCTGGATTATAGTATTAATATTTTTCATTTATACAAAACGAGATTGCCACTTTTCCTAAGGATTAAGAATAAAATTAAATTTGTGAGAGTGCAAGGATATGTCAATCAAACCCGCTGAAAAATTTGAAATTTCAATATCTTTGAAACGAAATAAGATTTTTAATTAATTTTTGTGTGAAATGCTATTAAAATATATAAGTCGTAATATTATAGAGAAAATAATAACTTCAAATCTGTGTCCAAGTACCTTTAATTCATATGTTATCACCACGGCTTCCTCTTTGAGGGCTCTGACAGTAAACTAATAGACGGGGTCACGTGACCCCGTCTAAAAATACCATAAGTAGGTCACAGTGTCCTACCTTTTGATTGAAATTTTCTGAGGACTCAAGATACATTAATTGACAAAGACTGATGATTCTAATTAAATAAGTACCTGAGATATTCAAAAGTAAGTCACCATGACCTACTTTTTGGTCAAAATTTTCTGAAAACCCAAGATGCATCATCTGACAAAGTTTGATGATTCTAAGTCAATTAGTACCAGAGATAATTAAATCTAGCCATCAAATGTCAAAAGTAGGTCAAGGTGACCTACTTTTTGGTCGACGTTATTCAAAAACCCATAATGCCTAAATTGACAAAATTTGATGATTCTAAGCCAATAAGTACCTGAGATATTCAAAATTAGGTCACCGTCACCTACTTCTTGTTGGACATTCAATGAAACCCTAAGATGCCTCAACTGACAAAGTTTGATAATTATGAGCCAATAAGTACAAGATATATATAATATATAATATATATAATTAAATATAGCCATAAAATGTCAAAAGTAGGTCACTGTGACCTACTTTTTGGTCGACGTTCTCCGAAAACCCAAGGTGCCTAAACTGACAAAGTTTGATGATTCTAAGCTTATACGTACCTGAGATATTCAAAAGGTCGCTGTGACCTATTATTTGGTCGACACACTCCGAAAACCCAAGATGCCTCAACTGACAAAGTTTGATGATTCTTAGCCAATAAGTGCCTGAGATACTTAAATATAGCCATCAAATGTCAAAAGTAGGTCACTGTGACCTACTTTTTGGTCGACGTTCTCCGAAAACCCAAGGTGCCTAAACTGACAAAGTTTGATGATTCTAAGCTTATACGTACCTGAGATATTCAAAAGGTCGCTGTGACCTATTATTTGGTCGACACACTCCGAAAACCCAAGATGCCTCAACTGACAAAGTTTGATGATTCTTAGCCAATAAGTGCCTGAGATACTTAAATATAGCCATCAAATGTCAAAAGTAGGTCACTGTGACCTACTTTTTGGTCGACGTTCTCTGAAAATCCAAGGTGCCTAAACTGACAAAGTTTGATGATTCTAAGCTTATACGTACCTGAGATATTCAAAAGGTCGCTGTGACCTATTATTTGGTCGACACACTCCGAAAACCCAAGATGCCTCAACTGACAAAGTTTGATGATTCTTAGCCAATAAGTGCCTGAGATACTTAAATATAGCCATAAAATGTCAAAAGTAGGTCACTGTGACCTACTTTTTGGTCGACAATCTCTGAAAACCCAAGATGCATCAACTGACAAAGTTTGATGATTTTAGGTCAATAAGTACCAGAGATACTTAATTATAGTCACAAAATGTCAAAAGTAGGTCACCATGACCTACTTTTTGGTCGTCACTCTCCGAAAACCCAAGATGCATCAACTCACAAAGCTTGATGATTCTAAGCCAATAAGTACTGGAGATACTTAAATAAAGCCATAAAATATCAAAAGTAGGTCACCGTGACCTACTTTTTCCTCGTCACTCTCCGAAAACCAAATATGTATCCACTCACAAAGTTTGATAATTCTAAGCCAATAAATACCTAAGATACTTAAATATAGCCATAAAATGTCGAAAGTAGGTCATTGTGACCTACATTTTGGTCGACATTTTTCAAAGACCCAAGATGCATCTACTGACCAAGTTTGATGATCGTAGGTCTGAAGGTAATCAAAATATGCGTTTTAAACAATTTGAAAACAAATGTCGGCAATTTCAAAAATTAGGTCACAGTGACCTACTTTTTCATAAATATGTTTTAAGGTCCCAAGATGCATCAAAGTACAAGATTTGATGATTCTAAACCTCCCAGTGTCTGAAATAATGGGATTTAATGTTTTTAAAAGGATAAGTCATAAAGTTCAAAAAGTAGGTCACGGTGACTTACTTTTAAGTTGACATTGTTTGAGGACCCAAAATGCATCAACTGACAAAGTTTGGTGATCATAGGCCTTAAAGTGTCCAAAATATGCCTTCAAATGCCCGCAAAATTTAAAAAGTAGGTCACCTTGACCTACTTTTGAGTTAACATGATGTGAAGTCGTAAGATGCATCAACTTACAAGAATTGATGATCCTAGTCCTTATAGTAAGCAAAATATACACGTTTTTATTAATTGCACAGGGATCGACTCTAACTTTTCAACCATAGTTGTCAGCAGGGCTAGCCATTTCTTATTTCTACTAGCCCTGTTCATGAATTAGTTGTCCAGCAGGACAAGTCGCGAAGGGGGGATTGGGTAGGTGTGGGAGGGGGGTTCCCCCTCCTGCTGGTGGGGGTACAGGGGCCTCCCCCGGGGAATTTTGAAAATAGAGATGTGAAATCCTGCATTCTGGCTGTATTTTGGGTAAAAATGATATGTCACTCTATGATTGTACCTAAGACATTTTTTCTATTCGAAAAATTCCATATTTATAATCATTTAGGTTATTCAGGGTTCGAAATTAGCGAGAAATACTCGCAAAATGCGAGTTGATTTTTAAAACAGCGAGTAAAAATAGAAGACACTCGAAATTTTTAGCGAGTGGTGATTTTTGACTCAAATACTTTCGTATCCGTATTTTTCTGGTAATTTGTCTTGCTTTTTGAAATTTGAACAGAGTCACAATGCATTCGGTAAACCTTGGTTGATTGTGTTACCAAATCTCAATCAGCTGATGCAATTTATACAAAAATGTTTCATTGTAGTTTTATTTGACATATAAAATGTGTCAACCTAGTCAAAATTTACCTTAGGTAAAAGAGGAATCATTATTTATAACATCAAATAATTTCTTCCATAACTTTCTGAAGTTCGTTTTCTGCAGCTAGAAAGCCATGTTAGGTGCCCGCTGTAAATATCACACCTGGTTAATTAAGTCCGGGATGTTTGACTCCATTATTCAGTAGCACAAAATCCAAACCTACCGACCCTTGATCATATTGATTTTTTTTTTTTTGGAATGTTAAAAGGAATAAATATATTTTAATGTTATTTTTTTAAAGGCCAGATTACCTTTTTTATTAATGTAAAAACATTGATGATCTTAATTCTGTACTGACCCACTAGAGAAGGCCCTGTATTATTATTGATTTGAATGAGCATGAAAAAGACATTTAATCCTTCTTTTAATTTTAGCTAGTGGATCTTCATTTTAGCCTGTAGATTTTATATGTACAGGCTAAAATTAGCCTGTGGATAAAAAAGTTAATTTCGATCCCTGTTATTTCGGATTGACTTTAAATTTTACATTTTGACTTACAAAAATAATAATTATGATGATAAACATGTTTGAAAACAACAGATGTTTGTAAAACGCTTATGCCCCCTCCCCACAAATTGGATTTTTTTCTAAGTCCAAAAGGGCATAACTCTGTCTAAAAAGTTGCGATCCTACCCAAAACAGAACTTGACCTAGATATTCAGCTGAAAAACCTGTATACTAAATTTCATTTCAATATGTGCAACCTCTGCAAAGAAAATGAACGGAAACGGCAAATAAGTAGAATTTTTCTAAGTCCAAGGGGCATAACTCTGTCAAAAATGGTGCGATCATACCCAAAACAAACCTTGACTTAGATATTCACCTGATAAACCTGTATACCAAATTTCATTTGAATATGTGCAACGGTTGTGAAGAAAATGAACGGAAACGGCAAATAAGTAGAATTATTCTAAGTCCAAGGGGCATAACTCTGTCAAAAATGGTGCGATCATACCCAAAACAGAACTTGACTTAGATATTCACCTGATAAACCTGTATACCAAATTTCATTTAAGTACATGCAACGGTTGTGAAGAAAATGAACGGAAACTAAATGGACCGACAGACAGCAGCAAAGCAATATGCCCTCCCTTCTTCGAAGGCGGGCATAATAAAGTTAGCAATTATCAGATATAGTGTGTGTAAATTATAATTGTTTTTCTTGTTCCTATTGAGTAATATGTAAAATTTACTGAAGCCCTGCAGGGCAAGTATAAAGACACATTTAGTAGCCCAACCTCAATATTCAGTTGTCTCGGGCCAGCGGGCTAGCGTTAGTGTCAAACCCTGTTGTAAATTTAGGTCAACTTTGAAGTGACCTTGAGACCACGCCCTTTGCCCCAGGGTAATTCCCCGTGCAAATTTTAATCTTCGACATATCCTGATCCTTGTATGTAAGTTGGTGAAAATCTGCCTGGTGGTTATGGAGAAGAAGATTTTTTAGCAACCAGTACTTTTGGTTTTGTTTTCCCTGATTATCTCCCCTTGTTTAAGGGTCCCAACCCTTATTTTAGTATAAATGGTAGCCCTTGGGCCAAGGATACCCTGTAACAAATTTGGTACTGATTGGCCAAGGGGTTCTTGAGTTATGGCCCATATTCTAAAAAGTTTACGCACACCGCACAAATGGCCATGGCATTAGCTCTTTGAGCCTTTGGCTCAGAAGAGCTAAAAATTCAAAGCATGAGAGATAGAGTCTAAAACCAACTACACCCTGATAAAGCAGCCTCACCCCTCCAGGTCCACGGTTTCTCCATCCTCTAACTTCGCTTTCTTCACCTCCTTCTCCTGGTCAGGGACAGCAACATTCTCATCATCAGCCATAGACTTTCTCTTCCCGGGGCTTCAACAAGATAAAAATTTTGGTCATTATTTCCTATTTCCTTCTACACTGTTCACTTCTGTGATTCAAACATCAGCACCAGTAAGCAGAATACTAAAATAAAACCCTCACGTTCTAGAAAACATGGCAGTTATTGATGGCTGGTTTGATGTTTTCTTTGACTTTTTGTTTCTCTTTGACTTGGCTGGTGTACCTAGGAAAGGGAATTAACTCGTAACTAACCAATGAATAAAGTTTTTTTTCCTGGAGGGATAATTTTTTTTCTAGAGAGAGGAAAAAAAATCAAACAAAGCAAAGTGAAAATTAAAACAGGACTTACTTTTACTCTCTTCAACCTCCATCTCTTCCTGCAAACCAATTAAATTACAAGAGAATGAATTCATAATGGGAGCAATTTCACATTATCGTAAAATATTTCACTACTTAAACAATCACCTCATTTCTCTCACTGTCATCTTCAGCCTGTGAATCTTCTTCTTTTGATGAGTCTCCATTTTTGGTTTCTGTTTTGGGCTCATCTGCAGGCTTGCTATTAGTTCCAGGCTTAGTATCAGGTTTGGACTCCAGCTTGGTCTCTGAGTCTTCCTCTGAAGCTTTGTCCCCGTTCCCCTGGTTACTTTGATCCCCGTTCTGCTGTTTACTTTGATCCCCGTTCTGCTGTTTACTTTGATCCCCGCTCCCCTGTTTATTTTGATCCCCATTCCTGTGGTCTCCATTCTCACAGTCCATCAGGCCGTTCCCCGTTTTCTTGCTGGATCCTCCCGTCTCTATCATCACCCCATTCTCACTGTCGTACACTTTATCAAACACCTTCTTGAGATTCTTGAAAAATCCCTTCTGCAGTGGTAAAAAATAATTAAAATAATATAGACTAAGAAGTAGGAAATCTAGTCATTGACAAAATAAGACAAAGAGGACTTGGTAATTTCTTCCAGATGAAGAATGTCTTATTCAACCACACACTTACTCAAACTCCTAAGCAGAGATACGACAATAAATTTTTTGATTCAGAAAAATTAACATGGTTCTACAGAATGATTACAAATAGTATTCCTGTCCTTTCTCTCCAAGTCCTCTATGAAGTAAAGTGACCTGCAGTTCAGACACCCTGCTAAGCTCCCCCAAGATGTTTTCTCATACTATTCTATTTACCTAAACCAACCAGTTCATCAGTTACCCCAGCCCTTTCTAAGAAATTCTGCAAAAAAAAAAATTCTTTTGAACAGTGAACCCCTGCATATTTTTTTTCTAAGGTTTTCTCTAACAATTATACTTCATGCTCTCCCTTTCTCGGGAACTCAGATGAGGTGTCATTCCTTTTTTGTGACAAATTGGTTAATTGTCAACTTGCTCTCTGACCTCTGTAATGATGTTCTCTTTCAGTCCTTTTTCCAGTCCTGTAATAATTTTGCTGACATCCTCAGGCAGATAGCCATCAAATAACTTGCATTTCTTTTTCCAATATCCCTGAAATATCAGAGGTAAGTTGTCAGTATGTGACTTAATATCCCATTTTATTAAAATGTGCATGCAGTCTACGTCTTTAAGCAAATTTAATAATACTTTTTATAAAGTTGTCATTAAACTTCATCCAAAGAATCCTTTTAAGTTTCCAAGATGATGAATCACATTTAATGAAAATATATTCTGTTTGTTTACCTTTTCTGTAAGATCACCATCTTGGAATTCTTCCTCCAGCTCTTTCAACCTGGAAAAAATATATAATTGCAATGACAAATGCCTATAATGTAAAATAAAGCGCAAATCTGACAGTGTCTTACTTTTCCACGATTTCTGTCGTGATCGGGGGTATCGTTTTCCCAGGCATCGTCTTTCTTGCTACAAGACCTCCGACAATGAGATGTTCCCGCTAAAATTTGGACTAACCTGTAAGAGGGGTGTTAGATTTTATTGAGTGAAGATAATTAGGCACATTACCTATTGCTGAGATTAAAACAAAATGCTCGACTAAACGTTCAATTTCCGTACAGGATAGAAAATAATATTCATTTTTTAAACTGAGTTACAGTCATTTAGTGATGAAATTTTAACCTAATTGGACCCTTCTCAAAATGGATTTTACCGGAAGTTAGGGACGTAAACAAGCAGAGGGAATGTCTGAGCGCCAAGTTTAACGAACAGCAAAAGTCATGTAAAGATCATAAGATGTCTTAAATGAGTGAAAAGCATATAGGTAAGAAATAAGGTTTAAAGGTTGAAAAAATATTTAATCTTTTCTTGGAAACTTTATTTAGATCTCTTTTATTTAATTAAAAAATTATGTGGTCAGCAAGCGTTCAATATCGAGCCCGATCTTATTTTCTTCATGGTCTTACTAAAACTAAAAGATATCGTATTGCTTAAGTTTTTGGACAATGATGGCAGATACACAGGAATTCATATTCATGCAAATAGGAAGTACAATTTATATTATGAAACGTGTACAAAGAAAAAAGTTCCTTACCCGGTACCATATGGAGCACTGACCAAAAATCAAGGCGCCCTGATTTAGGCCTACATATTATGACGGATAGGTATTCTACCAATTTATTTTACTGATGAATGAACCAGTTTCATGGTACGTGATGTAAGAATTGTTGGCAACTTTAGATTAGCCATAGTGTAGGTTGAAGTAAATGAAACGATGTAAATAATAGTTTTTTCATCATATGTTCATTATCGAAAATCATAGCTGTGGGGATCCGGGTTAGAATAGGTCCTCAGTACCCCCTTGCTTGTCGGGAAAGGCTACTAAATGGGGGTCCTTTGGATGAGACCATATAACAGGTTGGGCACACACCGCCAAATGGTCATTTAACCCCCGTTTGGTGGTCTATCGCCCATATCGTCGTCTTTATTACCTACCAAATGGGAGAGAAAATTGTTTTGTTCAGTTCTCTGGAATGACGTGTAATGGCGCATAATTTCAACTCACGGGGAATAAAATATAGATATTTATCTATGCTCTGAACAAAAAAAAATCAGAATTTCAACGTGGACTTTTTTGTGCTGTGTCATTCAAATATTGGACAAAATCGTCACCTATGTATACAAGTGTAACGATTCCGTGTTTTAACTTAAAAAGAAAAACTCCCTCCATCTTGCGCGTAGTTGCACCGCAGGGCTCTCGATTCTCTAAATCTGGGGCCGATATTCGGCCCCATTCCCAATGCAGAAAAGGTACCTTTTTTCCCAAAAGAAAGGTGTAAATTTCCCAATTTCCATAGCAAAATATTAAAAAGTAAAAGTCCATGAAACTTAATCGCATAAAAACCCAAAACAAAACACACTTGCAAATGAAAGTGAAACAAAACAAGTTTTATGTATGATTATTAATTAGTTCGCACCAAATGCATTCGTAAACTGGTTCGTTGAACCAGGTTATTGTTTTTATAAAAATGTGTAACTATAAGTGCAGAGTATCTTGTCATGAAAATCGACAAAAACATCATTTTGGTTTCAAAAATAGACATTTCATTTAAACATTAGTAAGCTTCACTTAGAAACATACCCACACTTCGGCATGTTCAGTCTCGAGCTCAATTGGTAAGCAGCGATGTCCATGTGATCGAGGAAGTTTGGGACTATGTAATTAGTGACTGTCACTCAGAAAGACAAATTACCGCAGTTATCAACACTTAAAGATAGTTATGACAAAGCTAATGTAATTTCAAAAATAGCCTACATACCCATGTTTGTTCTGTTTAACTGTTTATTCAAAACCAGAGTTAAATTGATGACAAAATTCTAGAAAAGCAAAATTTGAGGATTTTTTTTTAATGAATGTTGGTCATCCAAATTTCCCCAAAATGACGATAGTTTTCCCAATTTGAACGGCCCTGGCTCCAGTCCCAAAAAGTGGTGTGAGAGCCCTGGCACCTATCAATCGTGTTTATCACTTCATATTTTTGTCAATTATGATCAAAACCAATTAAAATGACGATCTTTTCCGAACTTGGGTCAAAAGACTGATTTAACTACGGAGACCCATTAGTGTTAATTTTTAAAATGTAAAATAAGAGGAGGGGTAAGAATTCGCTTTATTTCATTTATTTCGTATGCAATGGCTTTATTCTTTTTGGAAATAAGTATGCAGTGAATTCATGATAAAATAATCGCTCGGAAACAATAATCTTGGAATAAAAACAAGAATAATTGCAACTGTCACTTTGTAAATCTTTCATTCAAAAATATAAATATAGTAAATACATCATAGATATGCATACTAAACCGCAAAGGGTCGCACAGAAATCGTAACTTCATCCTAAAAGAAAATAAAGAATAAATGTTACATTCAAATGTAGAAAAAATGAATATTATAGCAATAAGTGCCCACCATACGAATAAGGTACGAGGAGCTCGTGTTTAACGGGATTTTATAGAGATATATATATTGATACGCAGATCGAAAGATCGTTTTGAAAAGTTAATTCTCTAGAATAACACCTATTGTCTAAATATACTTTTTACCAAACTATACACAACAAAATAATTTTTTGTATTGTTTGAGCAAATAGTTCGGCCGTCACGAACAGCTGTGGCAGTGGCGGATTTAAAGGGGGGCGCACCCGGCGAACGCCCCCCCCCCCCCTAAAATTGTCAAATTTGAAAGTTAGCATAAATCACAGTTTCGTCAAGAAAATGTAAATATGTCTACTTGGTAGACCTCTTTTTTACCGTACAAAATCTCCAGAATCCAGACCCCCAGACCCCCTGCCTATTTTTTGCGCCCCCTCTAACTTAAATTCCTGGATCCGCGCCAGTGTGGGTTTCGTTTTTACGAAGTTCCGCAGAAATTACACATGGAAAATTGACTAAATTGTATTAAATGTGTGAGGAATTTGTTAATTAAAATTCTCCAATGTCTAAGTAAATGCACTTTTGCTTTATTTTAATAAAAATTGGATTTGAATAAAAAAGACCACCATTTGATGGGTAAAAAAAGATGCCGATATGGGCGATTGACCACCAAACGGGGGTTAAATGACCATTTGTCAGTGTGTGCCCAACCTGTATAAACAGAGGCCCCGTGTCACAGCAGGTGTGGCACGATAAAGATCCCTCCCTGCTCAAAGGCTGTAAGTGCCGAGCATAAATTTGCAGCCCTTCACCGGCAATGGTGACGTCTCCATATCGGTGAAATATTCTGGAGAGGGACGTTAAACAGTATACAATAGCTGCAGATCTGTAGCTTGTTGGTCTGAAAAAAATTAGGATGGGCAACCAGAGAGCTCAGCTACAGTGCCACCCATAGAAAAATCTGTATATTTATTGCGGAAAAAAAGTTCTGCTCGGTTCTGAATTATTTATCCCTAATTCTTACCCCTACTGCAAAAAAAGATAAAGTTAAAAAAGAAATCCTTAATCCTCTATGAAATACTATGAAATGAGTGGAGATGCACACTAATTACAAAAAACCTTTGGTGTATGATATGCCTAAGAGATAGAATTTGAGTTGACATTCTTTTTCTTTGATTACCTGTGTGTTTTTCTTTTTAGACTTGACATGTCACAGTCCCAGTCCAGCTTCCTGGAGACGGTGGTCAGCTGGGATGGTACCCAGTGTCAGGTCAACCTGGACACAGCCCTCCCACGGCTCATCGTATCCTACTCAGAACTAGATATTAATGAGGCAGAGTCTCATTATTTCTACCCTAGATATTTTAATAAATTTTCTTGAATTAATTCTCTCTGTTATATTGTATTCTACTCCTAATTTTAATTTATTTACAACAATGTTATAAATGCTCAGAAAGCATCATATATCTCAAACAACAAGATGATAAAAATGTTTTGACTCACATACATCAAGAATGAATACTTCGGAAGTCATTTTACTATATTAAAAGTGTGAATTTCCTATACTTTATTATCAGAGATGTTTTCAAGAGGTGAATGTTGTACAGGAGCAGATTGGTAAGAGAAGATGCTTAATAATATAGTGGTTAATAAGAACCTGGCTGTAACATGTACCGTTTTATATTAAATGTTTAGCATATTTTCATAAAATGATTCCTTTTCAGGAATTCTTAAAATCATATGCCATTCCTTCTTGCCATGTGTTGAAGCAATTCAAGCCGAGGAAAAACTTTTTAGCAAACTTATTGACGAGGTAACTACCTGTATGTTTCAGTGATTTGATTCATAGTTGTAGCAATTTTGATTCAACAGTTAAGAAGATAGTGACAAGGGACTGGTTGCACTGTGCTGTCCCCTGAATTCAGATTACCTTATATTTCACATATATACATATGTCCTTATTTATAACTCATTTACTTTTGTAATGAGGAGAAATTAAGGAGAAGATCTTAACTTTTGACAGGTGTGTGGTGTGTTTGACAAAGCTCTGGATGAAATACATCAGTACACACAAAATACAGACAAGAAATCCAGTATCCCTGAGATCAACACAAACCTACAGGTAAAAAAAAAATTCCAACTCTCCTGCATCTTCAAAATTAGGCCAACAATAAAAAAATGATTTGTTTTATGTCCAGTGTACGCTGACTGACCCATCAAAATTACCCCTACCGAACCATTTTAAAAATTTTTTCAGAAATTAAATTTATTTTTAGCTCTTCTGAGCCAAAGACTCAAAGAGCTAATGCTATGGCCATTTGTGCGGTGTGCGGCGTGCGGTGTGCGTTAACTTTTTAGACTATGGGCCATAACTCAAGAACCCCTTGGCCAATTATTGTCAAATTTGTCACAGGGTATCCTTGGCCCAAGGACTACCATTTATACTAAAATTAGGGGTGGGACCCTAAAACAAGGGGAGATAATCACGAAAATAAAACCAAAAGTACTGGTTGCTAAAAAATCTTCTTCTCCAGAACCACCAGGCAGATTTTCACCAAACTTACATACAAGGGTCAAGATATGTTGAAGATTAAAAATTGTTCAAGGCATGACCCTGGGGCAAAGGGCGTGGTCTCAAGGTCACTTCAAAGTTGACCAAAATTTACACTTATTAAAAATGTTGATATTTTGCTTACTATAAAGACTAGGATCATCAGATCTTGTAAGTTGATGCATCTCAGGACTTGACATCATGTTAATACAAAAGAAGGTCACGGTGACCTACTTTTTAAATTTTACGGGCTTTTGTTTTCAAATTGATTTGGAGGCATATTTTGGACACTTTAAGGCCTATGTTCATAAAACTTTGTCAGTGTGTGCATCTTGGGTCCACAAACAACATCAACTTAAAAGTAGGTCATCGTGACCTACTTTTTAAATTTTTTGGCTAATCTTTTCTAAAACATTTAATCTCATTATTTCAGACACCGAGAGGTTTAGAATCACCAAATCTTGTAAGTTGATACATCTAGAGGCCTTAAAACATATTTATCAAAAAGTAGGTCACTGTGACCTACTTTTTAAACTTTGCAGGCATTTGTTTTCAAATTGTTTAAAAGGCATATTTTGAATACTATTAGACCTATGATCATCAAATTTTGTCAGTTGATGCATCTTTGGTCTTCAGAAAATGTCGACCAAAAAGTAGGTCACTGTGACCTACTTTGGACTTTTTATGGCTAGATTTAAGTATCTCGGGTACTAATTGGCTTAGAATTATTAAAATTTGTCAGTTGATGCATCATGGGTTTTGGGAGATTATTTAAATGACCAAAAAGTAGGTCACAGTGACCTACTTTTGACATTTTATGGCTATATTTTAGTATCTCAGGTACTTATTGTCCCCCGCTTTCGCGAAAGCGAGGGGACACTAAATCTTGTTCATCTGTCAGTCTGTCTGTCCGTCACTAAAACTTTAACCTTGCTCATAACTTTTGATTTAGTGGAGCTATGACTTTCATATTTCACATGTGTATTTCTAGTGACAAGACCTTTCTTTGGGTACCACCAAATTTAACCTTTTGACCTTGACCTTGGAGTTTGACCTACTTTTACACAAAAATTCCAAACTTTACTTTGGCCATAACTTTTCACCGGTAGATACTAGGGCTTTCATATTTCACATATGTATTCTTTGTGGCAAGACCTCTCATTGGATACCAACAACTTTGACCTTTTGACCTTGACCTTGGAGATTTCCGTACTTATGAAAAACTTTAACCTTGGCCATAACTTTTGAATGGTAAGGGCTAATGGCGTTTCATACTTCACATATGTAATCATTGTGAGACCTTTCATTGAATACCAAGAGCTTTGCTCCGTGGATCTTGACCTTGGAGTTTGACCTACTTTTTAAAAAAACTTAAACCTTGGCCATAACTTTTGAATGGTTCGGGCAAGGGCTTTCCTACTTCACGTATGTAATACTTGTGGCAAGACTTTTCTTAAGAAACTACCAATAAATACAACTGTATAATCTATTTTGTCATACGGGGTCATCAGGTTCACTTCCTTATAACTTTTGATTGAGAAGAGAAAGGGCTTTCATATCTGACATGTGCATTACCTTTGACAAGATTTGACACAACATGTCATAAAAAATGACATCCCACCCGCAAAGACACCGAAAGCGGGGGACCACAATTTTTTGAATTTGCTTGTTGGCTTAGAATCATCAAACTTTGTCATTCGATGCATCTTGGGTTTTCGGAGCTTGTCGACCAAAAAGTAGGTCACAGTGACCTATTTATGACATTTAATGGCTAGTTTTATGTATCTCAGGTACTAATTGGTTTAGAATCATCAAATTTTGTCATTTGATGCATTTTAGGTTTTCGGAGCATGTTGACCAAAAAGTAGATCACGGTGACCCACTTTTGAAAATCTCAGGTACTGATTGGCTTAGAATCATCAAACTTTGTCAGTAGATGCATCTTGGGTTTTCGGAGAATGTCGACCAAAAAGTAGGTCACAGTGACCTACTTTTGTCATTTTATGGCTATATTTAGGTATTTCGGGTACTTTTTGGTTCAAAATCATCAAACTTTGTTATTTGATGCATCTTGGGTTACAGGAGAATGACTGGCTAAGAATCATTAAACTTTGTCAGTTGATGCATCTTGGGTCTTAGGATAGATTGTATAATTTATCAGAAGAGCGATTCTAGGCCCTTGGGCCTCTTGTTGGTTTCATTTTAGAGGTTTATAATTTCTCGGATATCCCATTTGATTGAAGGTTTTTACAGCGATTTTAAATTTAAATCTGTCTTGACCAGCTTCTGTTAACCCAGGTAGTTAATGCTATCGAAGCAAGTCCTTTCCCAAATATCAATAAGCTCTATCTGTGGTGATGCATCTAGAGATGCACACTGTTATAATTGCTTTATAAGCTGCATTTGACCTACATCTGGATATTCTAGATGCTCGAATAGGTTGAAGTTTTTGGCAAGTCATACCATAAGTATGCACATTGCACAATACCTCACCTGCTTCAGATGCTGCAACTTACCAACAGTTTCCAGGAGATTGAACTGTTCAATTTCTAGAGCTGATCTTTTCTGAAGTAAAGTCTGAGTCACATCCAAACTATATTTGCATGTTGCATCTAGGAATATATACTACTTGAACAGTCATTTGCTGTGAGACACTGCATTTTAAATAACATTCGTTAGTGGCATAACCATTGATTACCTGTGATTTTAGGTTTTATTGGACCTGCTGGAGTTTATGGAAACATGCCTTTGTCACATGCAGAATGGAAATGTAGCTCTAAACTGGAGCCATATTCACTCTCTACCCAGAGGGACCGTTCACTTCCTGAAGGGGGCGTACGGACATTGCATGGTAATCTACCACAGGAACTGCTGTGGGTAATTAGGTCATCTTTAAAATAATATTTGCTTGTCCTCTCCGGAATCATGGTTTTAAAAAATTGAGTTGGTAGGTAGGTGGGAAAATCTTTTTTTTTTTTCAAGAAAATCTTGAAATATTGATGGAATAAAAAAATAATTCTGGATTGAAAAGAAAATACCGGGTAAGTATTGTGGATTGGGAAAAAAGAGATTGAGTTGGATCAATTTTTGTCATTTTAACCAGATATTTGGAAGAGGGCAAACAAACAATTTTTTTAAGATGGCCTTATTATTTTTTCCAATCTCCTGACAGAAAAATCTTTTCCAGTTTTATTTTACCTAATGAATAAAGTCCAGCTGCAATTTTTCACAAAAATAATTGGTGATGCATGAATCAGTTCAGAGATGAATCAAAGTGTTTTACATAGAAATATTTATGGGAAATGTTCTTTAAAAATCTCATCAAAAATCATTTGACCAGAAAAGTGAAAGGCTTCCTAAAGTTCTAAAAACTGACAACAAGCCATATTGACTCCTTCATCTGATAAAAATGATGCCTAGAAATCAAAAAAATTGAAAAAAAAAAAAAAAAAGATCTTGCTTTCTTGTCCAGAGAGATTTTTTTCATAGCGGCTAGCCTGTTACAATTGATCTCTAATTCTGTATTTTGAAATAAAAGAAAACGCTGAACATACCCATAAGTTGTGTTTACAAGACAAATAGTTAGCAATTCAAGTAAATTTTTTTTTCTAGATTTATTACTTCCCTTTGTACATAACAACAAAAATCTGAAGACATGATTAATGTTTCAGGTCATCTAATTTATAACATTATGCTGAGTGTACCAATTCTATGTCATTTGATAACCAGAAATCCAAAATATACTTTGAAAATATGAAAATTGCAAAGGTCATACATATATTTATAAGAAAAAAAAATGTAAATACATTTATACACCGAATCAGATGTAATGAACCAAGTCTTTTGAACATAAGATTTAAAGAAATATATTTTGATTTTAAATTTGTAAAATGTAAACTCATCTCACAACAACACATTCATTTCACACAACATTTAATATTTACATTTATCAAGTAATGTCATGATGAAAAAAAACAAAACAACCTGAATGGTTAAAATAAATATGAAGACTCGCCTGTACAATCACAACAAATGGAGAAGACTTGGATAATTTCTCCAGAGGTTATACCAGCTCTTAAGGAGTCCATGACTTTGAAAGAATTTGAAATTTTAACATGATGAAAATGATAAAAAAAAAGAGACAATATTTAGGAAAAAATCTGTATAATAAATACTAGGATTTCAATAATGAGTGAATGACAAAGAGTCAAGAACATATTCTGTTGAGAGAGAGGTTAATGAAGAGTTTTACCGGGGGATGCGTTATTCCCATTTTTATGCAATCCATGCATTTAGTTTGTTTTTTTTGTCTTTTTTTGTTGAGTTTCCTTCTATAAAATATGTCAGGGAGCGTTGTGTTTTTGCGTAGCTCTATTATGATGTCACAATGAAAGGCTTTCACTCACGTTAATGCTTGTTTTACTGCTTCAAACATCAGTGCATTAGCCAATCGAAACTTGTTTTACAAAACAATTGCATGAGAATAATATACAGTATAACCCCACATAGAAGAAGAATAAATTAAATATAAAACTCAACTCACATGGCAAAAAGAATAAATAAATAACATGCAAGTAGATGTACTTTTTGTCTTCATGAAATGAATGTGTTTGTTTAATGGCAAGGATTAGTAGGACTGGAGGTGTTATTTGTTGTTAAGGATTTGACTAGAACGGTCAATCTCATAGTAATTTGATTTTAAAAATATCTGTAGACATTTTATTAACATGATTATGGTTGTATGGAGTACCCATATCTATATTTTTGTGTACTGTAGAGGGATGTTATGAGAAATTATCACAGCATTTTCAAGTAAGAAAAAAAATTACTCAAAATTTGATTCATTTGTGACACTCTCCCTGGCAGCATTGGTGATGTGTATGTTTTATTTACAAATTACACAGGTGTGACCTTCATACGATCCACTAGCTGGATCTTGAACAGGTATGAGGTGTCGGTGTTACGTGATAAATTACTGGGAGGAAGGTAGTTTCCCTGATTGTCAAAGACAAGAGGGTCCCCCGGCCACGAACAAATGGCGTAATGTCCGTCGTCACTGTTTCCTTTTGTTCTGAATGCAAAATATGTGTCGTCATTTATGTCTCCATGACATGGGTTGTACGGCTGAAATGTAAATAAAACCATATGTAATGTCAGCGCACCTTAATAATGATAATACTTGGTAAATATTTTCTTGAATTTGATTGATAAATTTATAAAAGCATAGTCTCTTAAACAAATACATGTAAATGCTTTTAAATACTCTTTTAAATTAAAAAAAATGTTAACAGACAGACAGACTTACAAATGTATAGACAAAAAGAAGGACAATAGACACTTTTTAACTATACGGTGCATATTTTCTTCTGTTCTGGGATCACCAGAGCTAAAAATGAAGAGACCTGAGACTTTTTAAGAGGTAGATATGGAGAACTTGAGATAAGTACCCTTGTTTTGAGTGTCATGCCATCCATGTAAAGTATCCGCTGATTATAGCAGGTTCCCCAACCCACAATCTGATAACAAAATCCTTTACGATGTGTGAAATTATGAATGATTCTCAGGAATGCTGAAATACAAATAACATAATAAACCTTTAAATATAATAATATATTTTGATATGTCAGAAGATTCTTTGTGAAAAGGGCCATAGGCTTTCACTTAAATGGGATCACTGTTTTATACTGGCTAGAATATATGATCAAATTCTTAATCATATTTAAATGCACATTTAATGATTAGGCAAGAAACCTTTGTTAATTTACATTTGCAAATGTATTCTTTTATATAACACTACTGAAAGCAATGCCTTTCTATATCTTTATAAGCACCGGTACAGGGTCAAGAGGTCATCGATTTGCATATATGGATAAACGTTCAATGTAATTTCTCAGTGACATCATAAAGAGTTGACGTATGTTCAGTGGATTGCATAGTTGCCGTTGAGTTTGAAAAATAATGCATTTAAGACATTAAAAGTCACAATCAGGCAAATATGAATATTATGAATAAGTCACAAATGTAAATATAAGTAGTAAGGTATCTTTTAAAACATCTGTTGGGCTATAAATACGGGTTGGTCCGAGATTAAATTCATCATAAAGCGAATTTAATCTCGTGACCAACCCGTATTTATATCCCCATAGATGTTTAAGAAATAAGGTATCATTTTTTGAGTTTTATTGAGATGTAAAACGGGTTGGTCACGTGATCAAATCCCATAAAGCCCGAAGGGCTTTATGGAAGAATTGATCATGTGCCAACCCGTTTTACATCTCAATAAAACTCAAAAAATGATACCTTATTACTTATATTTACATTTGTGACTTATTCATACTTTATATTTGCCTGATTGTTACTTTTAATGTGTGAAATGCGTTAATTTTTCAAACCCAACGGCATGTATGTAATCGAATGAACGCGCGTCGACCCTTTATGACGTCACAGAGAAATTACGTCGAACGTTTATCCAAACGCACATCTATGACCTCTTGACCCCATACCTGTATTTATACAGTTATAAAAACGCTTGCCTTCAGTAGTGTTATATAAAGGAAAACATTTGCAAATGTAAATATTTAAAAATGATACCTTATTTCTTGAATATGTTAATAATGTATCAAGACTGGTGTGAAATGATGAAACATTTTCCATAAAGTTCTACATTAATGTTATGATGTATGTTATTCCAGAGATACATTTATATTAATAAGTACAAATCTGGAAAATGCATACACAATATGATTACTTACGTAGACACGTCCAAACACACACCCCCCTCCCCCCCCCCCCCATTTGCCCATTTTTCACAACTTATTTCCTTGGTCAATGCTTTGTCCATTAGTTCTGGACCGCCCCCCCCCCTCCATTGTCCATTAATTACTTCTGGAGTCCTTTCTTTGTCCATTACTTCTGAACACCCCCCTCCCCTTTGTCCATTACTTCTGGGACCCATGCTTTGTCAATTAGTTCTGATGCTCCCTCCATTGTCCATTACTTACTACTGGAGTCCTTTCTTTGTCCATTGGGTCTGACCCCCCCCCCCTCCATTGTCCATTACTTTCCACTGGAGTCCTTTCTTTGTCCATTGGGTCTGACCCCCCCCCCCTCCATTGTCCATTACTTTCCACTGGAGTCCTTTCTTTGTCCATTGGTTCTGACCCCCCCCCCCCCCCCCGCCCTTCCCCCCCACCCCACCTTGTCCACAACTTACTTCTGGGGTCCTTGCTTTGTCCATTAGTTCTGACCACTCCCTCGTTATCCACCAACAGGAAGTGTCCGCGCGTGCCGTTGATGTGGTACTGAAGCTGTAGGATGTAGTCCTCCTGATGGATGTCAGGTTTATCCTGAGATGTGACGTGAAGTAAATCCTCCTCAGTTTTCACTTCCGTCACCTGATAATAGTCAACAAAAAGGGCTTCATGAATCTGCAATAATTTGCTCGGCCCCCCCCTTCCTCTTCCAAGAACTGAGTACAGTCAAGTCTTGTTTTCTTGAACTTGATGGTACCGAAAAAATGCTTTGAATAAACAGTTGGGATATTTGAATCAATGACATATCCATAGTATTCGAGATATCAGTTTTTGAGACACTGAAATTCAACAATATTCATTAAGTTTTTGATACAGTGTTAGCAGATTGTATATACCTGGTATGTATTAAAGTAACTGATGGATTGACAATAATAAGAATTTTATATAGAAGTATGAAGTAAAACCTGTCAGTAATATTTATACTTCAAACCATCAAAGCAGTTCTCCCTACAACATTGCAGCATACGAGACGAGAATCATGATAGGTTTTCTTGGAATTTACCAGCAGACCTACCTTTGTATTATTTTATGGGCAACAATTCAGACTAGCTAAATAATTTATTAGGTTCCCCAAACGAAGTTGGGGAACATATTGTTTTTACTCTGTTTCTTATTATTATTATTATTTTTCTTCTTCCTGGGAAAATCTTTTCCGCGAATGATCTTGTAAACTACACGTCCGACTTAGGTGAAACCTTTTTAGGGTCAGTAGGCATGTTATGTAGATTTGCGGAACGAAGGTCATTTTGCGCGCACGTGCTTGCAAGAGCGCGCACGTGCAACGCGTGAAATGACCAAAATAATAGATACAGCCGTAACTTTTCTATTTTTTGATTATATGCTTTGAAACTCATAATATAAGTATATATTAGTAGTATAGACGTGTTGACATGGTCAAAATAGCAAGATCTCACGCGCATGCACGTGCGCTTCGCTCTGATTGGCTGAAACTAAAGTCTCAATATCTTTCTTGTTTTTCGTCATAATCCTTTGAAATTTTGAACTTAGTCACACAATATAAAGATCTACAGCATGATATATAATAATTTTCATGAAAGCACGTACATGCGTGTGTGCTGGCATTAAGAGCGCGCACGTGCAACATGTGAAATTACCAAGATAATGGATGAAGCCGTAACTTTTCTATTTCTTGATGGAATTTTTTGAAACTCACAATGCATGAATAAAGTAGTAGTATGGACAAGATGACATGGTCAAAATTGCAAGATCTTACGCGCATGCACGTGCGCTTTGCTCTGATTGGCTGAAACTAAAGTCTCAATATCTCTCTTGTTTTACGTCATAATCCTTTGAAATTTTGAACTTAGTCACATATTATGAAGATCTAACGCATGATATATAAGAATTTTCATGAAAGCACATAAATCAACGTGTGCTGCAATCTGATTGGCTGAAACTTTACATGCCTATATCTTTCTTGTTTCTCAACAAAACAGGATGAAGTTTAGAATATGAATAGGTATTATGGATTCCTACATGATATTGCTATCAAAATTGAATGCAATGACGTGTTTGCATGCACATGTGCACACGCAATGCGTAAAATGAACAATATGTTTGAAAAACGGTAAAATTTATATTTGTATGACTTTTTATTGATTTCTGTCAGGAATATAAGGATATGTTAATGGTTTAGACAACATGTCATGATCACCTTGCATGTGCATGCACGTGCGTTTGCGAACAATGCGTTAAATGACAAAAAAGTGATATAATTGTAGCTTTTAAAATTCTTTTATGAAATCCTGCGATACTAAGCATATTGAAAAAACATTTTAAAGGAAATCTGCACAAAAAGGGAGTTGGGGAGCGTTTGGGGAACATCTGTAACGGTCCCCGTTACAATTAGAACTAGTTCATTTAGGCATTAAAAAGTCAACAAAATTGGAGGGTTTTTTTCCAGAGATGTAAGGGCATTATTGATTTCTGTATTACAATACAGATATGGTTTAATAAACAATCTGCTGGGACATGAGCATTTGTCAATAATATTTACCGGTATACTTCATCATCATTCATGCCATGTAAACAGTTCTCCCAACGACATTGCAGCACACAAGACAAAAATAATAGTACCGTGGTTTTCTTAGAACTAAATTGCAGACCTGCTTTTGTAGCAATTTATGGGCAATAATATAGACCAGCTAAACAATTTATTCATTTTGGCAGTGAAAAGTCAACAAAATCAGAGTTTTTTTTTCCAGAGATATAAGGGCATCATTGATTTCTGTATTACAGTACAGATATGGTTTAATAAACAATGAGGGTCCCCCATTCCTCTACCATTAGGGGAATCTGGAATCAGTTCAATTAGCCATGGATTTTTCAATTAATTTTTTTACAATTCTGTTTCAAAGCCAGTAAGTCACAAAGTGGGTTAAGGCCTAGAAAAAAAATATGTGTGTTTCCGCTTTCCCGACCGACCCTAATTTATAGTGCCGACCCTATACATTTTTTTAATGCTTTTGTCCCTCATGAAGTGCAAGATTTCACCCAGGGAATTAGAGTCTCCAACTTTGCAAGCTTTTCAAGACAGAAAGAAGTTTTAGTCACCTTTGTATTATAAGTTTAAGTCACAGAAATGCTTGAAAACACCATTTCTTTGGTCATTAATGTTACTTCTATACACGTTTTGATTAAACATGCAAAAAAAAAAAATAATTGCCTACCTACCTACCCTATATTTTTTCCAGCCTGAAAGTGGAAACAAACATATTTTTTTCTAGGCCTAATTTGTATCATTGCCATGGTGTTTTACACAAAGAATATTGCTAAAACTTATCACTGCCTTATTTAGCTGTATGTAAGTAAACAATTAAAAGTGTACCAGAGATATTGATTAAACAAGTCACAGATAAAGGGGCTGTTCAATAATGTTATCAGACTGAGCCTTTGATGTGGAGGTCAGCTAAGGTCAGATTCCCACCATTCTACAAATAATGGGGGGAAAGTTTACTGTAGATATTATCTATATGGGTACATAGTAGGGAAAAACAATGGGGGGGGGGAGTCTTAAAAAAATTTCATTTACTGTAAAATCAGTTTATAATTTGAATTTTAATGGGGGTTTAAATTAATTTTTGTGGTTTTCAAGGTATGAAGAGACCCACAAATTTTTGTCCAGCATGAATGTAATTTTTCACAGATATTAATACAGTTCACTTAGAAAAAAAAATTAAGAACAGACAAAACTTATTGGCAAAAACCCCAGTTGAAGAAGATTCCATTTGAATAAGTTTTCCAGTGAGTAACTAATTGCTAAAATGTCCACTTGAAATACATACATGTATCTATTACTAATCTGAGCAATTGCATCATCATTTATTTTGTGAAATAAAATTCCTAACTTATAAAAGTCTTAAGACTGAAATCCTTTGTCTTGAAGCTGTAAAACAGTTTCTTCATCTGCTATTTATAAATGTAACATTATTAAATTCTTTTAAGAAATGATTTTAAATTAAAATGATATACAATGTATATTTAAATTTGAAAATTTCTATATAGAGGATATAAACATACCTTAATATCCTTGATTCTGAATGCATCTTTCTGATTTTGGATAAACTCATAAGGATTTGAGATCAGTCTCGGTACGTTAGAATGAGATGAGGTTCGTGAGTTGAGAATCTCCATTGTGACTTATAAACAAACTGAAAAATAAAGCAACATTCAGACAAATGCGTGAGATTTTATAGAGTGACTGCAGTGTGTAGCCACGTGTTTATATACACAGTGGTGTATACAGGGTTGAACTTTTCCGCAGAGTTCAAACTTGATAAGTTTAATATTTGTACAAAACTCGACAGAGTTATCAGCTTTGTAAATTTTTCTCCACAAAGTTCACTATTCAGAGATCATAAAGTTGTAAGGAATTCAAAATTGCAGGTATGAATGATCTAAATAAAAATGCAAATAAGGAGCATTTAAAATTGGTTCACTTTTTATGTAAAGTATATGCTCCAAGCTGTCACAGGAATGAACCATGCATAATCATTGATGAAGTACTTGCCTGACTTATTTATGAATGGCCTCCTTGAATGCTAGCTCCTTACTCTCCATGAAAACATCAACCCCTTGTGTTTTATATATATACACTTCCTCTAGGACTCGGGCTTCTGATGTAATTTGACACTTCAAATATTTTTAAAAGCTGGATTCCTAAAGTTGCAAAATTGTCCTAATAACCCAGCATTTTCTGTAAATGTCAGATCCATTTAAAACGTCAGAAGGGATTTTCCAGTCCTTCGGTAGTAACAATGAGGTCACAGATGTGCATGAGTTAACGCTAGTTTTTTAAAGAAATAGCGAGCAATACACAGTTTGCAGAAAATCTTGTATTGATTCATTTTTCAGTGAAAATGCAGCTGCATGTTATATTTTCTGCACATGAAGCAAAAAACTAATCAGCTCACTGACTCGATTCAAAATATTGAAGGTCAGATCCTTCAGAAGTAATTTTTTTTTTTAGATAAATATGTTTATACTTGTACATGTATAGGTAATAGATTTAAACCTACAGATGGTCTATCCCTAAAATTAATGAGGGAAATCCAACTCTAGGATCATCCAATGGCAGCTGAGAGGGAAAAAAGGGCATTTTGATATTTAGGTGCGAGTGGGTGTAGAAAATTTGAGCTTTAATACAGAGACAATATTGATCATATAGATTAAACCTACAATAATGGAAATTCTATCTTAAAAATTTGCTCTGGACTGACAACAGTCCTGTCACACACACCCCCACCCCCTCCAGTAAAAAAAAAATATTTTATGATCAAAAGAATAGTTGTGTCTTTGATAAATAAGCTGTGTTTAACTTTAAAAATATGCAGCTGAAACAATTCTGGTAAATCTGTTCAGAATGCAAATAAAAAATCTGATTTTATTAAATTTAATTTCTTTTTTTTTTGCCAGGACAGTGGAGATATATACCAGGATCTGTTGAGTTCCCTGTCAGCCCCTCTCTCCACCCTCTTCAAGAAAACTCACTCCTTACAAGTGGTAAGTAAACCTCCTTTGAGCTTCATGTCAGCTCCCCTCTCTAGCATCTTCAAGAAAACTCACTCTTAGTTCTAAGTAAACTCCCCCAACAACAAACAAAACATGGTAAAAAGTGTGAGATAGAGAATATATAGGTATTAGGTACACACAAAACAGGATAAAAAGTGATAGATAGAAAAATATAGGAACATACAAAACAGGATAAAAAGTGATAGATAGAAAAATATAGGAACATTGTTTGCATATTGCAAGGAGCACTGTTAGAATAAATTAAAACTGATTTCTTCTGAGGATTTTTTCTTCTTGCAAATAAACAATCATAGGTATTGTTTTGTACAATTGAAGCATTCATTGCTGCACTATTTAAAATTGATTGAAAAGATTTACAATGTTTGTTAGCTGATCTGAGCTGAATGTTCAATGAAGTTTTTCGGATTGAAGAGTGTTTGGTGTCCGTCCGTCCGTCTGTCTGTAAACTTTTCCCATTTTCAACCTCTCCAGAACCACTGTTACTTGGTCCTTACCTAACTTGACAGAAAGCATCCTTGGGTGAAGGAGATTTTTGTTCAAATGAAGGACCTTGTCCTCTTTGAAAGGAAAATAATTTTACAGAAAATTTAATATGTCTTCTATAAATGTTCTTATCAAGAATCACTTGTGCAGAAAAGATGAAACTTGTGCACAAGCTTTATTATCATAGACCAATTATAGATTCAAGTTTGGTCAAATCAAGATCCCTGAGGGCAAGGCAGGGCCACGGTAGAAGATCAATCTTCTACATACTTTTAAAGTCAAAGAAATATGGGGGTTATATTGTTCATACCATGCCTATTGGAGCTAGCTAGCTAGGTTGGGACTTCTTATATATGAATACTCACTGTATTCATGTCTGATTTTCTTTAGTCAAAGTACCCAGGTCAGTGATTTGGCCCACAGGCCTCTTGTTCATTTTATCACCTGGATTTACCTGCAAGTTATCGGGGTTATTGTTAGAGCAGCTGACCCTTACTTCCTAGTTTAACCTGGTAACGAAATTTGTCAGTTTAATCTATGCAGCGACACCTTTGTACACTTCTCGCCTGTATGATTTGTTAGTACAGTGTAGTAAAACCCACTTTTCATTGCTTTGTACGTAAAGTGAAATCCATTTTATTTGGGGTTTTTTATATTTCAGAATATTTTAATTGTCATTAACATAGACTACATAGTATACTTCCTTTGCAAATTTTGAGTCACTTAAAAAAAGGAAAGTAACTGTTTTAAGGATGTGACTGTAATTTCCCTGGGCACAAGTTTTATTGAAGAAATAATTAAAACCTGAAGATCCTGAACACAGAAACAAGCTTTTACTTTCTCTCATGAAGTGCAGCAATCATCAAGCACTGGAGATATCAAAATCAACTTCCAGTAAAAAAGTTGAATGATGATTATTTGTGAAAACCCTCCTATTGAGAACTTCCAAGCATATTTCTGTAACCTAAGTGCCTCAGACAAGTTTGTGTAAAATTAAATAGAAATGTGTAACTACTTCAAGAGATGGTGTTGGGTGATCATTACAATTAAGTAGTAGGATAGATGTGATGTTTTTTGGTGCAGACAGGAAGAGCTGCACTTCATAGCTGTTAACAGAATCATCTGAGCTTCAGAACACTAATATATAAAGACTGTATGTTAATAAAATACTGAGAAACATTTTTGTGATGAGTTCTTTACTTGACTGGTTAAATTCAATGACGTTTTCACTAAATTCACAACTACATAAATTAGAGTAAGACCCTTATATACACATATACTTATTTATCTTTTCATCTACAGACTTTAGACTACTAAGAAAGTAGAGATCATTATAAAGTTATGAATAGTACTTGTTTTTTTAAATGTCAAAGGTTCTTAAACTACATTCAATTTGAAAATCAGAATTTAGTTTTAAATTTTTTTCTATGCAGAGATCTAATTACACAACACAATATACTGAAATTATTTAAATTTATTTGGACATATCAACATGATTAAATTTTCATAGTTTTGACCTTACTTTCATTCAAAATAGGGCAAAATTGCAGAAGATTCGTGCCTCTAAAGTAGGAGATAGCTATAAATTATGTCAAGTGGTGTTTGTTTAAAAGTAACACTAGACTATCTTTACAATAGCTCTAGTATTGGTTGTGATATTAGAGAAAATTTCCTCAAAATCACTGGAACGTGTCTGAGCTAGCAAAATTTGATGAATTTTTATTTCATTAATACAACATGTCCATATCGAATTGCAGTTAAGATTCTAAAAAATCAAGATAAGTTTCAGCATGTTCCGAGCATTTTTCATTGAGTTACAATTAAAAATGAGTTTAAACAAGCTATTGCAAGGTTTTTCCTGTGATACATAGGACCCATTTTTAAGCGGTTAGCTAGCTAACCGCTTTATGGCATGGGCTCCAAAAAACCGGAAACTTCCATAAGGCGCTACCTATCGACAACGCTTTATCGCACGTAACCTTATCCTTCTGCAACCAAAACCGGAAACTTCCACAAGGCGCTACCTATCGACAACGGTAACTTCAGCAAAGCGCTTCCTATGATTTGTATACTGTTGGCGTAATACGCCCCCTGGTGAAAGATTGACAATATGCTGTGTACGAAGAGTGGCTATTATAACAATTATATCGAATTCTTATTAGTATTTACCAAAGCATTGACAATACTTAGAACACTAACTTCAAAGAACTGAGAATTTCGTCCTTATTACATGTACATCGTGCGATCGCGATTTATAGCAACTGTTAGTTTATTTTTGAAAGTTGAACGATACGGTTAATTATACAGCAGGTTGAAGGTTATTACAGACTGCAAAAACATCAGCAAATCTCTAGATCGAGTTTAATTTTCCTTGCCAAAGTATTAAGAAACACCATTTACATGTATTAAGTCAAGTCATACCTGAAAAACGTTTTTATAAAAACACCGAATACATCTGCAAGTTTTACACTTTTTGTAACGTTTTTATGGAAACAATAGGATTGCCTCCACAATGAAACGTTTGTTTTCTTCTCTGTCTAATAAACAGTTTTAAAAGCTCAGCTCCCAGGGGTAAATACTCTGCTCCGTCTTTGATAATTTATTACATGTACAAACGATCATAAGGGATCACTTACTTTTAGTTTTGAAAAAAGTAATGGGGCACTTAAAGTAGTAAAATTAATTTTGAAAAAAAAAATGGATAAATATATATTAATTTTAATCGGCATTGTGACCCTCTTCTAAAAATCAACCGATATTATTATTCACAGAAGAATGAGGTATGAAAAATCTTGGCAATTAGAAAAAAATTAAAATTTATACTTAATGTTTATTTGTAAGTTTTGAAAATTTGATTAATTCCTAGGGAACGTATTATTAGCTGTGAAAATACTTTTTAAATTTGAATTTGTCCAATTCGTCGATCATTATTTTGAGCGTTTGAGAAGAATTAAATTAAGATACAGGTGTTTAGAGGCACATGGATAGAAAAGAAATCAGTGTATATTGTTTAACCGACATATTGAAGAAAGTGACACTGATAACTTCTTAAGTTACACTGACTTTAAGTGTAGATTTGAATTTTTAAATACTAGTGTTTTTTTATTAGACAACTTTCCTTTTCACATGTTTTATTTGAGAGCAATATTGCATGAAGAGTATAAGGCAAATACACATTATATGTCCTTATCTAGACATATTGTGCAAGACTTCTTTTAAATGATTCTCATATACCATTTACTTTATTCGAACATTTACTTGTTTGAAAAGTCAATAAAGTACATTTCATAAAGCTTGATAATCTTGTTTACTCGCCAGTCTTCCCGTACAAGTAGTAGTTCATAATATTACTAAACGGAAGTATTCAGTATCTGTATAAAAATACAGAATGATCGATTTAAGAAGAAAAGCTGACTCCTGAAAGTTCAAGAGGTAGGTTGCGTTGCCTAGAAGAAGTAAGCATCCCTCGTTGACAGGTTACACCCGCAGTGAGCCTACACATCTGGAGCTCTCTGATATCAATTCATTTACAAAGTCTCTGCTCAGTCATCCTTTTTTTCTCTGACTAGCCAGCTGTAGATCTACACTACTCCAAATTCATTATTCTAAAGAATTTAATTTGTCATTTTTTTAGTTTTTTGCTATATTAGGCTTTACAATTACCTAACTTCAATAGAGCATGAAAGACAATTAAATTTTCAACATCAACATAATTGTTTTCATCCAGAGAACGATAGGATGCCACCAAGAGAGAACTTTTAAAAATGCACTTCCTGTCTTTCAAACTGAAGAAATCTCATGTTTAAATTTTGAAACATGCATTTTAATCTAATTAAAATTTATTTAAATGTTCCAAATCCGCTACTGCTTCTCAAACATCTAACATCCCATTCGGGGTCACATCAGAGCGACCTTTCGATTATGAATACATGTACTAGTAAACACAAAAACTTTGGTCATCTAGATTCAAGCCTCGGTAAACAATTCTCAAATTAATTCCACGGCTACATATAATCATTATTGATACTGTCTTACGTTGAATTAAAGTAATTCTGGAATCAATTTCATGTATAGTCTGTAGTCTGGCATCTGCACGTGAATAATGCAAACGAAAGAGCACAAACTATACAAGATACCCTCACGTCATACATAACACAGCTTATGCAAAGCATATTTTGTTTACTACAAAACTCCTCGGCTGTTTTGGTTCGGTGGTGAAAACAAGAAACCCATCTGATCTATAAGCCAAGATTTCGGAGGAACCGTTTTCTTTGGCTAATCGAAGATTCTCTCTTACATGACCCCAAATATGATGTTGTTAGATGTTTGAGAAGCAGTAGTGGATTCGGAACATTTAATTTTAATTAGATTGCATCCATCTGTGACATCAGTTTGGAAGTTATTGGTTTTACTATTAAGTAAAGTATTACAAAAACAGAATGCCTGTTATTTTTTCTCTGATAACATTGGACAAAGATATGCATACTTAAATATCATCATTTCATGCACTTTTTTCGGTACGTATTAGATGAAAGCATGCTAACCGCTTTTCAGTACTTTCAGTACTTTGATTAACCAATACTGTAAACCAACTTTTATTTGTGTGTGAGAAATATCTGTGAGTTTCGCAACCTTATTTAACTGGTGAATATAAATCTTCACAAAGCACTTACTTTCCTCTGTGTTTGTAGAGAAATTCCCTTTGTCGCCAATACCAGGTATTAATGTTGTGGATTGATCTCAAATTGAGGAATTGCTAACATAATAGTTTACAGTAATTGATGTCTTTATTACAGTTATTACAACAATACAGTTATTACAATGATACAGTTATTACAATAATAGTTAGTTTACAGTAATTGATGTCTTTATTACAGTTATTACAACAATACAGTTATTACAATGATACAGTTATTACAATAATAGTTAGTTTACAGTAATTGATGTTTTTATTACAGTTATTACTACAATACAGTTATTACAATGATACAGTTATTACAATGATAGTTATTTTACAGTAATTGATGTCTTTATTACAGTTATTACAATAATAGTTTGTCTACAGTAATTGATGTTTTTATTACAGGCTTTCCTGCGTCTCCTAGACAACATCAAACTGAGTGACCCCGTCACTGAACAAGATGTCCTCGACCTCACTCAGGGTAGGGCTTCCTAAAAAAGGCATTAAATCTTATTAAAAGGGTAAAATATCCCCCTACTACATTAAAGAACTTCATTCGGTAATAACCAATATTTGCCCCCAAATCAAACTTTGATGGAGATATAGCCTTCAAAGCACTAAATATTTTCATAAGTCATGACGCCATATGTACGTAATGACATCACAAACATGACGTAAATTTCAGTTTTTTAGGAATTTTACAGAAAAATGAACATATTTCGTCGATATTTTGAGTAAAAGTCACCGATCGCATGTGTGTTCAGGATCAATATTTTGATACAATGTGTAGAAGGATAATATCAATGAAATATGTCAATATTGTTCCTGAACAAACTTGCGCTCTATAAATTTTAAAGCTAAAATTGTTGAAATTTTGTCCATTTTGTCCTCTTTCTGAAAAAGGATATAAAATCGGACTAGTTTGTGACGCCATAAAAACAAAAATTGTGAATACACTGCTTTGACACTATAATATTTTCTGTTAATTTAAATTTCTCATGCAATTTATTGAATTCAGCACATTTCAGGAAGTTTTCAAAATTTGACTTTTGTGGTGGCAAATATATACAATATACCGCATATAGTTCTTTATTGTCAGAAATCTGTAGTTGATCTTGCTTCTCTTATCTAAGAAAGTGAGAGGAAAGAGAACAACTATGGTTTTACATATATGCATGAAATTGTGCAAAAAGGTGTTTGAAAAACATTTTCAGCCCCCACCCCTCCATTTTCAACTGAAATACCTATAACACCATATGAAGTAACTTTCAGAACCTATGTCAAAAGTATCTGAATCTAGGTTTACAGCATTCTGTGTAAAGTGTGTTTATGAAATGAATAAATGCAATAATATAATATTTAATTGTTTTTGATTTTAGTTTGCCATGGCCTGTTTGATGTTTGTCAGATTGTAACATCTTTGGATATGAAGTTAATGGTAACCCTATGGAAAGCTATATCTAAGTAAATTGATTCTATTTTCCATTACCAGCAATATTTATGACATAATGGAAAGAATAAATTAAGAATTGTTTTATATCAAATTGAATTAATGAATTTTCATAAATATTGAAATATCACAAATCCTTCATGTCATTTAGTTGACCTTTTACTCTCTACAAGACCGGGAAGTGAAAGGAATGATAACTGTATTGGAAAATCTTGAACATATTTTAAGTTTCTGAGAACTTCATTCAATACCTTTAACACTTTTACTGTCCATTATAAATAAACTCGAAGATTAAATATCTGAAGCCAATCCTTCTGTGTTTGTAGACATGCGATCAATAACAAGGTCCACGTGGGTCAGAGGTTAGAGGTGGGGGAGATGATTGGTCACCTTTGTGGGGAGATCCAGAGTGGCTTCCTGTTTCTACTCCAGCTGATTCCAGGGGTGGATCCAGAAGGAGTGGTGGGGTGTTATTTTGTACTTTATTTACATCAGCATGTTGGCAAACAATCAAAATGACAGATAAAATGAAAAACTATGGACTGAATTATAACATTATGGCCACAGCATGCAAGATAAATTCAAACATTTTTTTTAATCCATGGATTTGTTTTCTATTTAGAAAGCATAAATGTAAATAGCTACATAAATTTTTTGAAGAACCTGTGTATTATAATTACTTGAATGGGATCAATGTGAAAGAAATAGTTTATTGCTAAAAATATCATATTATAGAAATCAAAATTTGTGACAGTCACAGTTTTTCATTTATGCAAAAAACATATATGTGAAGAAATCCACTTTCACCATACATAAATGGAGTAAGTCTTCCGTTGATGAATTATTGAAATAAGATGGACATTTACAAATTGATTACTATACTCTTGTTTTAGGTTTTATCTCAGGGAGATGAGAAAGGATTCCAGAAATCCCTCAAGATTCTGGGATTCCAGATGAAGATCCTAGTCATGTTGGTGCGGGAATTCTCGGACATTATACACGGCTGTGAGGAGCCGGTCTATGGCTTACTCCTGACACTTATGAGGTATTGTAATCCAATTTCTTTTTGTCTCAGATTTCTCCAAAACTTCTGTGCTGATCCTGAGAGCCTAAATATTCTTTGGGGAATTAAAGACATACTGTGAAATCACTAATTTTTATTATGCCCCCCTTTGAAAAAGGGAGAGCATATTGCTTTGCTGCTGTCTGTCGGTCCATTTAGTTTCCGTTCATTTTCTTCACAACCGTTGCACATACTCAAATGAAATTTGGTTTACAGGTTTGTCAGGTAAATATCTGAGTGAAGTGCTGTTTTGGGTACGATCGCACCATTTTTGACAGAGTTATGCCCCTCGGACTTAGAAAAATTCCATTTATTTGCAGTTTCCGTTCATTTTCTTTGCAGAGGTTGCACAAATTGAAATGATATTTTGTATACAGATTTATGAACTAAATATCTAGGTCAAGTTCTGTTTTTGGGTACGATCGCATCCTTTTTGTTAGAGTTATGCCCCTTGGACTTAGAAAAATTCCACTTAATTGCGGTTTCCATTCGTTTTCTTTGCAGAGGTTGCACATATTGAAATGAAATTTAGTGTACAGATATATCAGATAAATATCTAGGTCAAGTTCTGTGTTGGGTACGATCGCATCCTTTTTGTTAGAGTTATGCCCCTTGGACCTTGAAAAATTCCACTTATTTGCAGTTTCCGTTCATTTTATTTGCAGAGGTAACACATATTGAAATGAAATTTAGTATACAGATATATCAGATAAATATCTAGGTCAAGTTCTGTTTTGGATACGATCGCATCCTTTTTGTTAGAGTTATGCCCCTCAGACTTAGAACTCCACTTAACTGCAGTTTTCATTCATTTTCTTTGCAGAAGTTGCACATATTGAAATGAAATTTAGTATACAGATTTTTCAGCTGAATATCTAGGTCAAGAAGTGTTTTGGATAGGATTGCACCATTTTAGACAGAGTTATGCCCTTTTGGACTTAGAAAAATTCCAATTTGGAGGGATGGGGGCATAAGTGTTTTACAAACATCTCTTGTTAGGTTTCATTTTCATGGTTTTCAAGGTATGAAGAGACCCACGAATTTATGTCCACCATGAAATGCAATTTTACATATATATTACTACTGAACTATTCTTCAACCACGAAATCAAATATCCATGAACCAATATATTTTCCTCAAATTGACTCCTCAAAAATATGTGATTTTACAGTATATAATTTTAAGAAATCGTACTTAGAGAATAGCCAATCATTGTTAACTTTGTGATATTTATAGATTGCTTCCCCCAGTTTGTCATCCCAGCAGATAGATGAGAAACATCTCAAAGACATAAGGCAGCATTTAACTAACGCGACTGACGTACTTATCAAAGCCCTACTGTATAACAAGACATTCACAGAGTCAGTCACAGGCACAGAGAAAGGTTTGTAATCACATCAGGACATTTTATACATAGGTATCTAATAGTTGTCAAAATTATAAATACATTTGATGAGAAATTAGTCCTTTGTTGAAATTTTAAAATGTTGACACCCAGATTTTTGCTAGAGTCCTCACTCCTGAGCATATAGTTAAGATGCAAAAAAACTGTTTAAAAATTCCTTTTCAAATTAAAGTATAGAGGATAAAACTTAATTTATTTTATATGACCATGAGAAGGTGTCCGATTCTTACCAGATCTTTACAATTTCTTTTCACTTGTCCTGTAAAGTTGTATGGTATCCTATTGAAAGTGATATTAAAGGAAAACATTGGTCATGATGTGTAAGTGTATGATAATCTATTAATAAATAAAGTAACTTTACTTTTCTTTTGTAGTCAGCAGTTTGACAGATGAAGACAGTTTTCCACATTTACAGATGGTACTGAAGGTTTTGGAGATTCTTCCTCAATTGTCAGGTCAGTAGATTAAATAGAATTCCATTTTCAGAGGAATGTGAAGAGTTACAGAGTTACCTCCCTTTTAACATTGTGCTCTTTAGTTGCTGATCTGAGAGTTCAGAGAAAAAATTTAATGTTCCATTAAGTCATGCATGAAATATCACTTGGAGAGGAAATAAAGACCATTTCAATAAAAAATTAAATTCTCTAAGTGAAAGAAACAACAAATATCACGATTAAAATGGAATGACATTTATAGGGACAAACTAAATCAATTTATTAGGTTAAAATTAAAAATATGATGCAAAATTAAAAGTCAAACTTCTTTATTCTGAACTCATCTTGGCCAAGGTAAAAACTTCCAAGATATCTGAGGATTCTAGATAATAAAATCAAAATCTATAAAGAAATGAGATAATAAATTCATGACTGCTGACAATGCCTTTTAAGATCCTGATAATTTTCTAAGTGGATTTTTTAACCTGTCCCATTGTTTCCACAGATGAAGTACAAGACCAGTGGGTGGATCCAAGATTATATCCCGAGGATGAGGACAGATTAAGTGTAATTGATGTCGTGTTCAGAACAATCTCTAATTGTATGGGTGACCATTTTCTGTATTTCTTTAACATTGATTGATATTCATGTACAATTTATCATTAAAAAACAAAGAAAAAAAAAAAAAAAAAAACCAAAGAAAAATTTAAGATTGCTAAATTTAAAAAGAAAAGAATAATTAAATTATTTGAATATAATGTTATTTTTTCAGGCAGTAAAGAGCTTAACTTGCCCATCATCCTTACAGACCCAGTGTTGACAGGAAAACCAGAAAGGTTAGGTTCCTATCCCACCCTATAGTAAGGATACGTGTGACTAGAAAATTGTTATTTTTTGAACTACTGGGTTTCTGTTGAAATTTCTAGTGAGATTTCATTTATTTTGATGAATGTATTTAAATAAAATTCATTCATGAAAACTGATTACCTTGGTCATCAATTTTAAATGTGAGGAGAAATGCAATTTTGATCAGTTTTATTCCTTGGTATTTCAGGGACATTACTTTGTATGAGGGGTGCTGCACCAGATTATGTGGGTTCCTTGGGTCTTTGTCTGCTAAACATTTCCTCAGAGCTGTGAGTATAACAAAAAATGTTAACCATGCTTAAAGAAATTTGGCTTTTTTGGAAGAAAAATTTTATTTACAATGCCAGCTACCATTGAGAAAAACCACAACATTTCAAAGGAAGGTGGAATATTAAATTTATCAAATAAGTTTTAAACCTCCAAGATAAATTAGTTATATGAAGTCATGTTTTATACTTCACTTAGAAAATTGGTAACCATCACCATCATACATTGTGCTTAATATTTTCCTCAAGGATTTTTTGTAAATATGTCAGATATTAAGCAATGCATATGAATATGCAATGCATATGAATATGCACATCTTCCAATATTTTGTACATTGTAATTACTTCCAAAAAGTCTGTTACCATGGCAAAAAAAGTTCAGGACAAATAACTGTTTAGTACTGATACCTGAAAGAAAATTGCACCCAGCTTTAACTTCACTGGGTTATTCATCATTTCTTTGAAAGGGGTAGGAAGTTCCTGTAACCCCTGTTTCCCAGAATAATAAACAAGGATTTTCGCTTGGGTTCTTTTGGAAGGCTTTTTATTCAGATATGAACATTTTATATATATGTAACCCTGTAACAAAATAATTAAAATCAGCACATAATATAAACAGCTATTTAACATGTCAATTTAAAATCATATCTCTTGTCGTATTATATTACACTTAAAGTTGATTGCACATGACCTTTATAATTAATTACTTTATCCAGAAATAATAAAAGAATTACTGAAGATATTATCATATGGAAATATTACTCTTATAAAATATGAAAAAATGCATTACATACTTCCGATTTAGAAATAATAAATTATAAACAAAAATCAAGGAATTAAACTTTCAGTAACAAGAACTGAAATAATTTATAAACATAGAAAATAACATGAAACTCAATTTCATGCAAATAAGACACACATATACCCTTACCTCACATGAGGTGTAAAGGTCAAAAGTAAAATGCAGCAACGCTATGGTTCATTTCATGTTTCCCTGTATAATAAATATATTAGGCTTTATAATCTTTATACTAGATCTATGTAAATAATTTACTCAATGACTGAAATAAAGGTGTTATGAAAATTTAATGAAATTATTTAATCCTGCTCACTCAGTCATTCTCTCATTTAAGACTATGAAAATAATACTCAGAATTACGATAAAAATTTCAATTATTAAATCTGTAATTTAAGCAAAGAATAACTTTACAAGTTACTTTAAAAGTTAAAACTGACTGCACTCTTACACAACACACAGTCTCGTCATACATACGTATTCGAGTGGCAATTAAATGAAATATAGGAAAATTAGTACATATACTCCATAATAAATAAGAAAGCTAATAAAACAGACCTTAAATCCAAAAACCCATACTCTATACAAGTTGATTTTAAGAAGTTTGACTTCAAATCACAAATCGACAAAGAGCGACTAGCCCGGGAAACAACTGGCACGGGAATCAACTTACAAAACCAAGATAACCAATGAGAACTCAATATCCAGTCACCCGTGTCAAAAGGTCTAAAAATAGTAGCTAATATGAATAACTCAAACACAGGCTAATTCGTATTTCTTCAAATAAGTTTATTTTAATGGTCATTTATTAAACTGAAATAAATTCAAACATATACATAATAATATTTACATACAATACAAAATAAACATTTTCTGAGTAACTACAGGATATCACATTCCTTTTCAAATGAAAATGTCACTATTTTATTTTGACAGTATATTTTGCTATTAGTATGCAGAGTGTAAGTAATACAAACTGGAAGTGACTAAAAGCAATATTCATCCATTTCTATCTTTAACAGGAAGGAATTTTGTTTGAAAATGTTTGTTCACATGACCCCTGGTGCCGTCTACTAGCTGAGGATGTGTGGTGCTTCATCATCAGGTTTTGTTGATAAATACTTGTAATGAATTTCATCTGAAATTCAATTTTGCACTTATATCTTATTCTGCAACTATAGCTTGCATTCACCAAATAAAGGTTACTTAACAAAGCAAAGCTATATTTTGACTTGGGTCTAAAAAAATGATAGAGGGCTCAGCAAGCCTCGACCTCAGTCACGTTAATTAAAGGAATGGAATCAAAGTATTACAAATCAGCAATTGAAGAAAGTTCAAGTCCTAAAGAAATGTGGAGTTATTTAAACCAATTGGCATCTGATTCAAAAAATTTCACACCTACCCGTTTAACACAAAATGGTTCGGATTTCGAAGATTTACAGGATATTGTTGATATTTTTAACAAACACTTTACTGAAATATCCTGTAAATTATTAGCAGATATGTCAGTACAAAGTTTTGATTCAGAATTGTTAAATAAATTTACAGAAACTAAACTAGGGAAAGAAAATTTTTTCAGTATAAATCATATAAGTGAGTTCGAAGTATTAAATATGCTGAACACACATAGCCAATCAGATACGTAACTTTACCTCTAGCTTTGATCTCTTATTTAAATCACAATCTGGATTTCGAGAATTTCACTCATGTCAAACGGCTCTAACAAAACTTAGTAAGATAATTGGCTACAAGCTATGGACCAAGGAAATTTAGTAGGCATAACTTTCATCGATTTTAGCAAGGCATTTGATTTGGTTAATCATGATATTCTTATAAATAAACTTCAATCATATCACTTTGACCAAATGGCTATTAAATGGTTTCAATCTTATTTAACATCAAGGTCTCAGTGTGTAAAAATAGGTACATACTCCTCTGATTTTTTGCCCGTCACAGCAGGAGTGCCCCAAGGATCTATCTTAGGTCCCCTATTATTTTTATTGTATATAAATGATCTCCCTTTACATGTAAATAGAACAGATATTGATATGTTTGCTGATGATGCAACCTTACATACATATCATAAAAATATAGAAGGTATTGAGAATGCTCTAAACTTTGATTTGTGTGAGATAGAAAATTGGTGTTCCAAAAATCAAATGGTGTTAAATACCAACAAGACAAAATGTATGCTCATGGGAACTCAACAAAGAAAATCAAGAATAAATTGTACTGAACTAAATTTATATGCTTCTAACAAATTAATTGAAAATGTTGAATCTGAAAAGCTTTTGGGAGTACATATTGACCACTCATTGCGCTATAATTATCATATTGACTCAGTTTGTAAATCTTTGACTTATAAATTGTATACTTTACGCAGAATTAAAAAATTTCTTCCCTTACACACGAGAAAACTATTTCATAATGCATACATTCTGCCTTCTTTGAATTATTGTCTTACTATTTGGGGTAATGCGCCAGATGCTGGCATAGATAGAGTTTTTAAATTGCAAAAAAGGGCAGCCCGGATTATTTTAGATGTGGCTTATGATGCCCCTTCACTACCATTATTTGAAAAACTTGGATGACTGACCATATATGAGTTAATTGATTTTCATAAATATATATTACTGTACAAAACACTTCAGGGTATGGCACCAACTTATTTAAGAGATTCCTTTGAATTTATTTCTTCAGATAGTTATGTTCTTAGATCTGAAACAAACTATGATCTTCATCTACCGAAATATCGAACAAATCAATTTAAGAATTCTTTTCATTATTCCGGTGTTCATTTATGGAACAAGTTACCCTTGCATATCCGTTTTTCACCAACTGTACAAACTTTTCGTAAAAATGTAGAAAAATTCATTGTAACATGTCGCAACTAAAAGTTATATAATGCCATGTTCTTGAATCGATCTGTATATGTCCTTGTATTTTCACGTCATGTTGTATTATTTATTATAATATTGTACAATGTTTTAATAATTGTATTATTGTGCATGTGTTGAGAGGGCCCCAAGGAAGACTAGTGCATTGCACTAATCAGGTTACCCTCTTTAAATAAAGTATTATTATTATTATTATTATTATTAAGGTAATGATGTTATCTAGTTCCATTCATACCTATATAATCAACAGGTGCTGTTTATATTGTAGGTATGGCTCAGCTGACCTCTGTCGAGATCATGTGACCTTTTTACTAGAAGTGATTAAGCAGTGTTGGTCTTTTGACCATGAGTCTCCATTGCTTTCATTGGTCGCTCGATTAATTAAGTGTCTGTCTTCTGACCATCAGGTAAACTCTCATCCAAATGATTTATATTAAGCAGGAAATCATTGATAACTTAAAATTTCACCAAGTTTTAGGTTCAGTAACATACACTTGGAACTAAAGATCAAATAGTGATTTAGACAGGTTTCATATAAATTGCACTGAAGAAGCTATAAATCTCATAGTAATTACATTTGTTTCCTAGAAAATATCATGAAAAGTTTTTCATCTTAAGAGTTGCAATACACTGCATACACATATCTATAGGCAATCTGTAAAAAGCTTGTATTCATTTGTTGTTACTTATAGATGTATCACCTTCTGTGTGTTTCAGACTGAGTTGATAAGAAAACTAAGCTCTGAAGACGACCTCTCTACCCTTTATATCTTGTCCTGCTGTCTACCCAGCCTCTCTGATGAAAACAATCAAAATCTTGTGGACAAAGTCACAGAAAAATGTTCAAAAACTCTGCAGGAATTTTCTGTTGCCTCGGAAAAGACACAACAAGACTGCTACAGAATGGTCAGTATATTAGATGAGGAAATGTACATGTAGTTGATGCAGGCAATTCATTTTCTAAAGTTTACTTCAAATAGCAACATAAAAACTTATTTCAATGGTGTAGTTTACTTCTACCTGTATGTAAAATAGTATTTGTGTATATATTTATTAATTTATAGTTCCTTTAAAATTTATTTTCAAAAAATTAATGCACACTTAAATTCATTTTAATAAATTTATGTTTGATTGGTTAATATGATGAATCCAGGAAGCAGATTTCTTTATTTTCTCAGCTGAATGCTGTTTCCTGCCTATATGAGATATTGGACAAAAGTGATACGATGGGGTATTCCGTCCAGTCAACCGTGACCGAGTCCATTACAGATGGGGTCAGTCAGCTGTGGAGAAATATGTTTATCTCAGACTGGACAGACTCATCACTATTCGAGCTGTGTCTCCAGCGACTCGTATTACTCAGCTCACATCTCTCCTCTCTGCTGGATAATGATGTTCTACTGAAGGTATTGTTATTAAGCTTTACCTAGGAATGCGGAGTTTTATTTCTGTAATATTCGATTTGCAGTGAACTCAAAAAAGATCTGGAAAACTTGTGTCCTTTGAAAGTACAGTAGAGCTAATATCTACAAATCAGTTTTGTGTGTGAATTGATAAGGAAATGTTTATAAAAAAAATTTTTAACCTCCAGGAAACAATACTTTTGTTATTCATCATAAGGGTTTAACTATTTTAACTCTATATTCAGAAATATTTTTGTATAAATTTTTTCCACTTGGTACCAACTCAATTCTATCTCAAGTTTGGAAAGGCCAAGCAAATTAAAAAAAAATGTCTTTGATTTTTGATTTATTGCACAAAAAGGAGTAATGCCTTGACAGGAACTAGAGTTGAAGTGTATTACTGGACATTTATGTCTGTTTTTAGATTCTGTATGTGATGAATTCCCTGTTCCAACATTTATTTCTATTTATAGATTCTGTCTGTGTCAAGTTCCCTGTTACAACAAGGCTGTACAAACCACCTACATCTGACGATTGTCTGTTTTCTGAAGTCCTTTGGTAAAATCAGGCCTACAGCAACTCCAGAGGTGACTGCCAATTTTTCATTAGAAAAAAAAAACTATCAGACAAAAAGTTTGTAAGAGAATTTAAAGGTAATAACTTGTTTTTCCTTCATAATAAGGACCTAGAAGTGAATATCTAAGTTTCAGACCTCAGTACAAATTTACATCAATTACATCATAACATCGTAAGTTATAGATCAATTCAACAGAAACGGAATGATTAGAAAAGAAATCTTACAGAAGATTGTAAGAAATTGATTGAATTACATGTTTGCATGACAAAGTTTCTTCACAATTATATCTGAGTGATCGCCTTATTACTGTAGTTCAGTTCACTAATTCTTCTGAAATCAATTTACAGCAGCCCCAGATTTTGAAGAAGTTATCTGACCTCTTTGTGATGACCTTGACCTCTCCTGACCTATTTATTCACCACCATGGGTTATCTGCCTTTACACAGTTTGCTGAGAACACAATACATGAGTCTGTGGTTCCAGATTGTATTGATCAACAACCTCAGCTTCAAGACTTTGTGGTTCAGTTTCTCAGCAAGGTGAAGTTACATTGAGTTATTATGAACCTAATATGTGGTTTCTTATTACCTGTACATTATAAACATACCTGAAGTTCCTTAAGAGATGTAAATAATTGAGTACCTTTAAACCAATATTAGTTATGAAATCTATGCATTTTATGGTAAAGAATAAGTAAAAGATGATTTGAATAATGATGGCAACATTTCTAATAAGAAAGTAAATAGTTAAACTGCAAAAACTGACAGTGTTATGCTTTACCATTTCTGAGGAAACGTTTCACCATTTAGGCCATTGTCTTTCTGTAAACATTGATAATCATCTTTTACTGGTTAATTATATGAGCTGACAGTAACTGATGAAGTAATGCCAGTGCTTAGATTGTCTTAGAGCACTGTTAGAAGTGAGAGTCAGAACAAAAACATTCTATAATTATATTTTCTTATAGATGCCATACACTTGTGAAGAGTTGAGTCGACTGGAGTTTTTGAGGAAGGAACCATACACAAATCCTACTGTTAACAAAGAAAGAAATAATTCTATAAAGACAGAAGAGGTAATCTTAGAGTGCCAAAAGATCCAAATTGATGCCAAATGTGTTTAATTATTTTTATATACCCAAGTCAAAAGCTAAAGTGAGCTTTTCTGATCAAAATAATAATGACTGCCAGGCTAAATATATTGTAGAACGATCTATCATTAAAATGACATTTTCCTAGGTACCCTGTTTGACGATGGAATTCATTTTGTGTATTGGCAATAATACAAGAAAAAATTGAGTCGAATCATAATATGGATTAGTTTTCATGTGAAAAGGGCATATACTATCTCAAAAAGTTTCCTTATTAAATTGGTAGTTATTTTCTTTGCAACTCCTTTTGTATTTTTTGAAATCATTTCTGCTCAGAAATACTACATTAAAACTACAGTACCTGGCTATAAGTGAGTCATAATTTTATTATACCCCTAGTTGCGTGAGGTATGATGTTTTTGACCTGTCCGTCAGAGTGTCAGTCAGTCAGTCCGTCAGTCCTGATTTTTTGTCAGCGCAACTCCTCATATACTGCTCCACAGAATTTCGTCAGACTTTGCAGGTATTAAGGACACAATGTGTAGATGTGCATATTACCAGGAAATTCTAATTCCTTTATTTTTCCCGGGAATTTCCGCACTTTTTAACTTGGGCATTTGGCCATACCTTTAATATAGAGATGAACTGTTTGTCAGTGCAACTCCTCATAAACCGCTGCACAGAATTTGTTTAACTTTGCAGATATTTAGGACACAATATGTAGATGTGCATATTACCAGGAAATTCCGATTTCTTTATTTTTTCCGGGAATTTCCACACTAAAAACATAGGTTTTTGGCCATACCTTTTATACAGTTTGTCAGCGGAACTCCTCATAAACCGCTGCACAGAATTTCGTTAAACTTTAAAGATATTTAGGACACAATATGTAGATATGCATATTACCAGGAAATTCTGATTCCTTTATTTTTTCCGGGAATATCCGCACTATAAACTTAGGTTTTTGGCCATGCCTTTTATATAGAGATGAACAGTTTGTCAGCGCAACTCCTCATAAACCGCTGCATAGAAATTCATCAAACTTTGCAGATATTTAGGACACAATTTGTAGATGTGCATGTTACCAGAAAATTCCAATTCTTTCATTTTTTCTGGGATTTTCAGCACTTTGAGTTTTTGGGGAGCGTGGGGTATGTAAGCTTGTTCACTTTTTCTTTCATTTTTCCACTACATGTATATACTTCATTGAAGAATGCATTTTTCTAAAACACTATTGCAGTGTTATTTGTTGCTCATTTTTTATGAATAAAACACCATAAAATGCAGAATTTTTTGAAGTTTCTGCACATTATTTCAAAATAATTTTTTCTTTAGGCATTACTGTGAAATCACAGGTCAAATGCAAAATAGAAATTTTAAGACTTCAATTTGTTCAGAAATCTTAGTAATTTGAGCTTAGAAATTTTTGTCCTGACAATTTTATAATTCATTCTCAATGATTTGATGTCATTTTGTTTATCATTTTAAGACAAGAAAATTTGAATAATTCTGCATGATTCAGTGAAAAAATCATGGAAATTGAGCTAAAATTGACTTCACAACAAGTTTTTATAAAAATTGGTTTTTCAATGAAATATATAGCGTAAAAATGCAATTATGACTCACTTATGGCCTGGTACTGTATATATGGGACAAGCCCTCATCACAGTTAGATTATTCTAACTACTGTCAGGCTTGCTGACCCTGTGAATTATTTACCTTCTGTTTCAGATTACTTGCTTTGAATCTGTAATTGTAATGATACTCATAGAATTTGTGTGAATTCAGGAATTCCAGATTGATTTCATATTGTTTCTTTTTTAGCCCAGCTGTAAAAGACCAAGACTAATGGATAATGATAGTAAAATAACTACAAAGGTAAAGATACTTAAGATATTCTTTAGGATTTTTTTTTAATACAAGATTTCATGAAATGGGATTTAGTGATGTTGTTTGAGGAAGTCTCTGAAAATTCATATTTGTTTATTTTTTTCCAAAAAGCTAGGGACGCAGGTAAAGGAGTTGGTGGTAGTGTTACAACAGACTTTATCAGAGTTAGAGAACTTTAAGAACACAGAGGATTGCAATTTGTCGTCAAATTCCTGGAATAACCTGGAAACAATTCACTGTAAAATTACTGAGATCTTACAGGAAAAGGGGTGATTTTTTTGTTTTCCAGTTAAACGTTATATAATTGACTATATACAAGAACTTAAATATTTTTATATGATCTGTTGAGTTTGATTATAGTTTTAATCAATACAGCCTCTTTACAGTTTAAGTTACATTTTGTATAAAATAATTCTGATCTATACAATCTTGATAATCAATATATATTTGAATGTAGATGAACGGGGTTTTGAGCTGTATGATTGAAGTGTCTTTTCATTGGATATTATGTTTAAAATACGAATAAAATCTTTTAAGAAAATAGTTTAGTCTTATTTAGTTACATGTAGGTGAATATTAAGGACGTTCGATCCTGATATTTAAAGTCTTAAACTTTTTTTGCCAAGTATTTTTTTTAGTTTCTACATACATAGCTTAATTAAAATTCAAATCAAAAAATGGGTGTCAATACGCTTCTTTTGGCGCAACAGTACATTTAATATGACCTTCTTGCACTGAAATTTGTGTCTTAATTAAAAATTAAATTTTTGACGTTTTCCCTCCAATATTTTTATCCAATTAAAGCATGAAACAAAATGAACTCTTTGTTTGTTTAAAAAAAGACATTTAAAAATTGTGACTGAGAAAAAGTTTAAAATTGCTTTACATAATCAATTATTTGACCTTTCTGCACTAATAAAAAGTGATTTTTCTGGCATTGAAAATTTAATAAGCAAGAAAATTATTTTAAAGTCCTAAACTTTTTCTGATTTTAAGAAAATAGGTCAAATTTATCTTGAATATTTAGAAAAGAACATCAAATTTGGGGGTATATGATGTAAATTTTTAGATATTACTATAAAAGTGTTAATTCAACGTTAAAATTGGCTCAATTTTTCCCGGATTTTCAGAATACATATACTATATTTGTCACACTTTGTTGATAGAGTACTTAAGAAATAATTTAATAGATAATTCAAAACCAGCATAACACATTTAAATGCAAGAAACAGCTTTTTGTGCAACCAGGATGGAAAAATAGGAATCCAAAATTAACAGTACTGTTGTAGTTCAAAATGGAAAAACTGATCATTTTCGTCTAAAAAACCATCCACCACAAAATATAGTCCCTAGCTTAATTCTACTTGAATGCAATTTAATCGTGGTTTTTTCATTGGATATAGTTAAATTTGCACTGTAGAATGCAGATTAAATGTTTGAACTTTAAAATGATGCAGAATTTTCTAAATAAAGGACCTGACCAAAATATGCTCAAAATCTCAGGATCGAACGTCCTTAATGGTTTTACCTTCAATTTTCTGTTGTTTAACTCATATTATAATATTAATTAAGTAATTGACAAAGAAAAGATGAAAAAAAATATCAGCAGTCTTGTTTAAGGACATAATTTTCTAACCTGAATTATCCATCCTGTATTAAATACTCTGAAACTTATTCAAAGCAGTTGAGAGTAGAAACAAATTTACCAGGAGAAATTTTCAATAATAATTACTCGAGCAGTATGTAAATTGCATTGAGGTCTATGGGAACAAGCAAATTTCTTAAATAAAAATTGAAATACTAAAAATATTTTTAAAAAAATCTATGGTGGGAAGATGTATATAATTCTTAAGAATAGAAAAACATTTAAAAAATAATTTTTCACCAAATACACTTTTAGCTCACCTGAGCCAAAGGCTCAAGTGAGCTTTTCTGATCAAAATTTGTCCGTTGTTTGTCGTCATTGCCGTGTTGTTGTAAATTTTTCAAATTTTCATCTTCTCAAGCACCACTGGGCCAATTTCAACCAAACTTGCTATAAAGTATTCTTTTGTAAAGGGCATTCAAGTTTGTTCAAATGAAGGGCCACACCCTTTTCCAAGGGGAGATAATTATGAATTGGAGAAAAATTTATGGCATTTTAAAAAAAATCTTCTCAAGAACCACTGGGCCAGGAAAGATGAACTCATGTGGAATCATCCTCAGGTAGTGTAGATTCATGTTTGTTCAAATCATGACCCCCGAGGGTAGGGTGGGGCCAAAATGGCCGATTAAAGTTTTATATAGGAAAAATCTTCTCAAGAACCATTGAGACAGGAAAGATGAAACTCTCGTGGAATCATCCCCAGGTAGTGTAGATTAAAGTTTTGTTCAAATCATTACCCCTGGGGGTAGGGTGGGACAAAATGGCCGATCAAAGTTTTACATAGGAAAACGTAGGGAAACCTTTTAAAAATCTTCTTTCCAAGTATTTAAACTTCATTGAATAAAAGCAAAGGGGTGTAACTCTTGAAGGACAGGTCAGGGTAAAAAAATAAGGACACATTCCACTCTTACATATTGAGACTAAAACATGAAGATTATATCTACATATACTTAGTATTCAGCCAATTTATATCTGTTATGCATTCAGATTTATAGAATCTGAGGCTACTTTGGATCGGATACCTTAAGTCATCTTTCAAAGTTGTATGGTCAATATAATGACCTTGTCAGCAGATACAATTCATCAAATCAAATGCTGACATACGTTTTTCATACTGATTGTTAGTTTATTATTTACACACTAAATTGACAACGGATTTTTCGGTTATTTCCTGGTCATGACAAAGAGCACAGGATGGGTGTGACAGGTCGGCAGGGGATGCTCACTCCTCGCAACTGACTCTAGATCTCACCTCTGATATTTGACAGTTTTTTACATTGTTCTTCCTTTATCATCCCAAATGGTTTTTTTCTTATGTAGAAGTTTTCAGATGAATTCTGCTTCTGCTTCTTTTGACTCTACAAATGCCTACATGTCTACTAATAATGTTACATATAATGGAAGATTGGATCCAGAAAAAACTTTTCAAAATTTCAAAGAATTTTTAAATGATTTTGAAATCACTAATTTTTTTAAAAGTCAGAAACATAAAAAAGAATAAGTTTTCTACACTTTATCAAGAATTCAAAACTTGCCTCAAAGCCAAGAGTAATCATATAGTACGATTCTCAGTTAACCTGGGACTTTCAGTTGCGCGTGACTTTTCCTACACTACATAATTAACGTACCTCTAATGGCGTAAATTCTCATTGGTTAAGAAATTGATAACATCAGCAACTTAAAATTGTTGTTTACAACCATGAGACGACTTAAGCCCCACCTCTCTGCCGTACGAAACGATATCATTGTATCGTTGATACACTTGTTGACATTCGCCGAAATGTATATTTCAACAGTGAAGAAAAGGCTGTGTAAATTTCAGAAGCTAACCATGTAACGTCGAGAATACCATGCCTCACTGAAAGTCCAAGATTAACTGAGAATTGTAATAATTATGAAAGCAACTTCAGATTCAAGTATGTTCAAATCATGCCCCCCCCCCCCCCCCCGGGGGATGTCACGATAGGTGATCAAAGTTTTCCAAAGGAGTACATGTAAAATTTAAATTTTAAAGGTTTTCTTCTCAAGAACAGCAGAGCCATGATTGGATATATTTATATGGAAGCACTCTGGAGTAATTTAGATTCAAGTTTGTTCAAATCATGACCCCAGGGGGGGGGGATCACAATGGGTTGTCAAAGTTTTCCAAAGGAACACATGTAATAATAAAATTCTTAAAAAGTTTTCTTGACATAGCAAAGCCTTGATTGGTTATATTTATATGGAAGCATCCTCAGGTAGCGAAGATTCAAAGTATATATTCCAATCATGACTCCATGACGGTAGGGAGATGCCCGAATTATGAAATTTTTATAAGACTTCCATTACAAGTAAACTATACAAAGATAGAATTCCGGGAATTAGATTTTGATTGACGAAGTTTCTATCGTAAAGAAGAGTAGAGTTTGGTCTGATTTCAATAAGACTTGGTGGAAAAGTAGACAAAGATAAATCCTTGGTTAAAAGTTGATACGCCTGTCCATATGTCATTATTGTTTTACTACTGCATTCTCGTGAACAATCATTCAATACGATTGGTCAGTATTGTAAGTGGTATTGCTAGGTTCTGTATTTCATGTGCAAATTAGTATTGCTTTCAGCCTTTCATTGAAATCAAACATCCAGTCGATGAATAATATGATGAAACATGTGAAACTTTTATATCATGCTCTCGATCCAGCAAAGCGACGCTCTGTTACTGCAATGATTGTACAATTGATCATCGGGTCAAATGCTGTCAGACAGTTTTCATACTGATTGTTAGGATATTAAATACAAACTGAATTGTCGACGGATTTTTTCCATTATTTACCGATTGTTACAACGAGCACATGGCAGGTGTGAATTGTCGGCGGTGGGCGTTTACCCCTCCTTGGCACCTGATCCCCCTCTGACGTGTTGGAGGTCCGTGTTTGCTCTGCTCCTATTTTGTATTGCTTTAATGGACTTTGAGATTGAATACTGTTCGTTATCTTTATATATTTCATTCAACTTATCTAATTATTAAAATTGAGAGTATATTCAAAAGTGAACGTATCTAGGTTTTGTGTCACTTCAGCCTGATGCTGGATCTGACCTACATTTTGAATCAGGTCCATTACTAAATAATTCTAAGTCTTATCTGAATTGTCATACATGTTGCATCTAGGAATATACACTTCCAGACTTGCTTGGATGCACGATCATACCTACATATTTGATCAGGTCCATTCCAAAGTAACTATAAGCCCTACCTAGGCTAAAAATTAACTGATGTCGCAGCTAAGGATGCGCACTACCACACTAATTGTTTCAGATGTTGGATCTGATCTAAGTTTCAAAGCATGTCCATTTCTAAGTGGCAGTAAGTTATAATAATAATAATGATAATAATAATAATAATAATGCTTTATTTAGAGAAGGTAACCCGATTAGTTCAAGGTACTATTCTTCCCCGGGGCCTTCTAAATTCAAACAACATATCACATAAAATGATAAAATCAAAGATAAAACATGTAGAGTTCATTAATGCATGAGTAGTTAAATGTAATGTACAGCTAATGAATAAAGACTCGAAATAAAGAAGTCAATAATAATTGTTCAGGAGACTTTTTAAAACAAAAGTAATAATCATACATCATGTACAAAGGATATACAAACATTTATTTACAGACGTTGGCTAATTATAATTTTTTCTACATTTCGTCTAAAAATAGCTAAAGATGGTGACAATTTTACATGTAATGGTAGGTTATTCCATAAATTTACACCTGAATATTGAATTGAATTTGTAAATAGAATTGTTCGATGTTTTGGTAAACGAAGATTAAGTTCTACCTGGACCAACCGTGCATGGATTATATCTCTAGGGATGGACACTATTAGTCGAGTTGAAGGCCACAGCAAGTGTTTTCTTCTTTTCACGCATAAGATTTTGCACAAATTCTGCTTCTTATGAATATAAAAATAGGTCTGCTAATAACGGAGCGCAATTGGTACCCATTGGTATTCCAATAGATTGTTGGAATACATGGGGCCCGTTTTACAAAAGAACTTAAGACTAGGACTAAAAACTTCAGATTATTGTAAAATATTGCAAAATTAGTAATTCTTCTTGAAATTGTTTGTGTAAAAATATCTTACCACATTCTTTTAAAAAAGTTTGAAATAATTTTTGATATTAGGTTCATTAAAATGTTATATGAAGAATTAAAATTGGTCTTAAGTCATAAGTCCTTTTGTAAAACGAGCCCCTGGTCTCCAAAAACCACATAGATATTGTCAATCAGAAACTCAAGCATCTCTTTGATGTCAACTTCAGAGTACTTGTGTGAGCAATCAGAATGTGTTTTAACACAATAATTTTGCTAATGACCAAATATTGAATTAAATGTAGTAGTTAATAAATTTATATTTCAGTTTAAATTATATTTATTTAAAAAAATAAACATTTACAATGTTTAATAAAACTTCAAATTGATTGAAATGCCAGTCAGTAAACTTGTTTAACTGCTTGATTCAAAAATGGGGGAAAATATCGCTACTGAGATTCTTTGGTCCATTATATCTAGTTGTTTTTTTAAAAGTCAAAATCTAAATATGAACAAACAGAGGAGCCAGGGAATTGGGAAGAGACAAAACTCTTATAACAAAACACACCGATAATGAAATGACACTACAGCAAAGTGATTTTCATTCCAATAAATTTAAAATATTTTTGTAAATTTAACGTATTTATTGAATTAAGATTGTAAGGAAGCAACTTGTTATAGGCATGTTTTACTGTTTGGATAACTAAATTAATTACATAAATAAGGTAGGATTCTTCTCTGGTTTCTGACTAAATGTGTATATTTGCTAATATGTCTTTTATATTTAGGTGAAAGAGATTTAAAAGACCATGTTTTTCTTTCCTCATCACAATTGTACAACTTTAAATAGAAATGGTAAACCGCGTTTGAAAACTAGCAGGGACTACATTTTTTGGCGGAATGTTGGCGTATGAAAATATCTTCTTTCCTGACTCTCAAACTTATTATAGAACAATGAATTTAGTTATAATTTTTACACAATCAAAGACTTAAATAATTTTTCAAATGTTAGCTAAATAAATAATAAGGGATTAAAGTTTTAAAATATATCAAATAAATTTGATTTTCCGAAGAGACTACAGTTATGAAAGCTTTTAAAGCTTCCAATCTAAGTACAGATATGAGCCAAATATCCGTAAAAAGTGTTTTTTATTCTCTTATTAAACAGTCAAAACTTTTTGTTTTTGTATCATTTTGTATTTCTATATGACTTCTCTACCATATGTGAAAATAAGAAAAATTCAAATATAGGGTGCATAGAAAAATAACTTAGGTATCCTAAAACTTAAAGAAAAATTTGGATTAGAATAAATCCATTTTTGTTAAACTATTTGTGTCAATATGGTAATATCATCTTAAAGACCTTATATGGTTATATCTTTTTATGCAAAAAGAAAAACATTTAATTATTTGAAATAGAAGATCAGTCCGCATGATTTGATATAGTCATTTTTAATCTTAATGTCCATGGAAAAGGTAATGACCTCAACCTGATCTTGACTCTAATATAAAACGGTCAAAATGTATCTTACTGATACCATCACTTAGTATTGTTGTCTTCTTGGTTATGTGAAAATTTCATTAATTTTTAGCTCACCTGAGCCGAAGGCTCAAGTGAGCTTTTCTGATCACATTTTGTCCGGTGTCAGTCTGTCTGTCTGTCTGTAAACTTTTCACATTTTCGACTTCTTCTCAAGAACCGCTGGGCCAATTTCAACCAAACTTGCCACAAAGCATCCTTGGGTGAAGGGGATTCAAGTTTGTTCAAATGAAGGGCCACGCCCTCATTCAAGGGGAGATAATTGGCAATTAATGAAAATTTGGTGGCATGTTTTAAAATTCTTCTTCTCAAGAACCACTGTGCCAGGAATGATGAAACTTATGGGGAATCATCCTCAGGTAGTGTAGATTCAAGTTTGTTCAAATCATGACCCCCTGGGGTAGGGCAGGGCCAAAATGGCCGACCAAAGTTTTACATAGAAATATATAGGAAAATTCTTAAAAAATCTTCTTCTCAAGAATGACCAAGCCATAATTCATCATATTTATATGGAAGCATCCTCTGGTAGTGTAGATTCAAGTTTGTTCAAATCATGACCCCCGGGGGTAGGGCGGGGCCAAAATGGCCGACCAAAGTTTTACATAGAAATATATAGGAAAATTCTTTAAAAATCTTCTTCTCAAGAATGACCAAGCCGTAATTCATCATATTTATATGAAAGCATCCTCAGGTAGTGTAGATTCAAGTTTGTTCAAATCATGACCCCCGGGGGTAGGGCAGGGCCAAAATGGCCGACCAAAGTTTTACATAGAAATATATAGGAAAATTCTTTAAAAATCTTCTTCTCAAGAATGACCAAGCCATTATTCATCATATTTATATGAAAGCATCCTCAGGTAGTGTAGATTCAAGTTTGTTCAAATCATGTCCCCCGGGGGTAGGGCGGGGCCACAATGGCCGACCAAAGTTTTACATAGAAATATATAGGAAAATTCTTTAAAAAACTTCTTCTCAAGAATGACCAAGCCATAATTCATCATATTTATATGAAAGCATCCTCAGGTAGTGTAGATTCAAGTTTGTTCAAATCATGACCCCCGGGGGTAGGGCGGGGCCAAAATGGCCAACCAAAGTTTTACATAGAAATATATAGGAAAATTCTTTAAAATCTTCTTCTCAAGAATGACCAAGCCATTAATTCATCATATTTATATGAAAGCAACCCCAGGTAGTGTAGATTCAAGTTTGTTCAAATCATGACCCCCGGGGGTAGGGCAGGGCCAAAATGGCCGACCAAAGTTTTACATAGAAATATATATATAGGAAAATTCTTTAAAAATCCTCTTCTCAAGAATGACCAAGCCACAATTCATCATATTTATATGGAAGCATCCTCTGGTAGTGTAGATTCAAGTTTGTTCAAATCATGACCCCCTGGGGTAGGGCGGGGCCAAAATGGCCGACCAAAGTTTTACATAGAAATTTATAGGAAAATTCTTTAAAAATCTTCTTCTCAAGAATGACCAAGCCATAATTCATCATATTTATATGGAAGCATCCTCAGGTAGTGTAGATTCAAGTTTGTTCAAATCATGACCCCCGGGGGTAGGGCGGGGCCAAAATGGCCGACCAAAGTTTTACATAGAAATATATAGGAAAATTCTTTAAAAATCTTCTTCTCAAGAATGACCAAGCCGTAATTCATCATATTTATATGAAAGCATCCTCAGGTAGTGTAGATTCAAGTTTGTTCAAATCATGACCCCCGGGGGTAGGGCAGGGCCAAAATGGCCGACCAAAGTTTTACATAGAAATATATAGGAAAATTCTTTAAAAATCTTCTCCTCAAGAATGACCAAGCCATAATTCACCATATTTATATTGAAGCATCCTCAGGTAGTGTAGATTCAAGTTTGTTCAAATCATGACCCCCGGGGGTAGGACGGGGCCAAAATGGCCGACCAAAGTTTTACATAGAAATATATAGGAAAATTCTTTAAAAATCATCTTCTCAAAGATAGAAAATCCATGGTTGTTCATGGGACTACTTTTGGATTTTACCTTTTCAATAATAAACCAAATTATAATTTTACTAGCCACAGTGCTCAGGTGAGCGATGTGGCCCATGGGCCTCTTGTTAAATACAGTTTTGGTGTGAGAAGAATCTTACCTTAAGTTATCCCTCCATGCTTATGCCTTAAATTCACAGACCAATGTCTGCCATGCCTTAGAACAGCTAAAGATATTGGATAAGGCACCTTCCGTTCATGTAAAAATTTTCAGGAACCAGAGCTAGTTTTCTAAGGAGACCATAATTTATATTTTTTACTTTTTTATTATTTTCAAGTTAATATCCTATGAATTATATAAGTGGCACTATAATGTTGATTATCAAGAGTTACCCCACAACTACCCTTCAATTCAATATATAAATTATTTTATCATTTAAAAGCATCTCGCTATGCATTCTAACCATAGGTTTCCTTATCTTTTTCAAAATTTGATCAGTACTTGATCTGAAATTATCTTCTGCCTCCTGTTTATCATTTGACTTATCACATGAACTTAAGCTTGGGTTGATGTCATAATATCCCGTATTCTCATCAGTGTAACAGTTTGTATTCTATTGAATGGACTTTGTCTGAGGGATTGTTGGTATGAAAATAAAGCAGACTGAATGTCCCCAAAGATATGTTGACAGATTCCTAGGATCTGCCATGATATGTCTTTGTATATTTTATAAATATATACCTCCTGATCAAATTGGACTAAGACCTGTAGATCATTGAGAGCTCGTTGTGCTCTTTTTGTATTAGTATGAATGGAGCACAATATCTCAAGCATGTATGACATGACTAATGGGGGGATGCACAGAACTCTATTTTTTCCAGATTGTTCTGGTATTAATTCATATATGTAATAGAGGCCAGAATAAAGTTGGATATCCCTTGTAATCTGCTTTCGTTTTGCCGAAAAATACTGTTCTAATGAACGCTCACGAAATCTCTCTGAGTCGATACTGTTAAATGATTCAAATGTCTGAGCCAACTTGGCTTTGGTCTTCTCTATAATAGATAGTGCTTTCCTGTATCTAGATGTACGATAATGGTACATGGATAAGTACAATATATCAGAAATACGATCAAACTTTGCTGCTACTCTTAGCATTTGACAGGACATTTTGTCAACTTTATATTTCATTTTGTTGGCACACGTGTTATTCCACCTGTTGAGTAATTGAAATGCGATTGCATGAAAGTAGACGACTTTTTGTTTCTGTAACCAAACAACTTGATACTGTGTCAGTGGAAAACTTAGTAGATGTTCTACAGTTTGTAGACTCTGAATACAACTATGTAGGTCTAGAGGGAGTATAAATGGACTGTATTTTATCTCCATCAATAGTGTTATATGAAGATGCATCTTTGTCTTGCAAATTTCAAGGGTAGACTGTCTAGGATTGAATTCATCTATACAGATATACTGCTTAGGATTAAGGAGGACCTTCATAACATAGGGTCTGATGGTGGAACTGTGAAGTAGGCAAGCTATTCCCTTCTCATATAACTCATACAGTCTATTGAATAGAAGCTTCTGTGCTTCACCATGGATTTTACTCAAAAACATATTGTTTTCTGGAATGAAAAAATTTGGACAGACCCCCTCATACACCCATTTAAGGAGAAGTTTGAAGCAGATCCAGAAGCACTCCAGAATATTTTGTGGGCACCAGTGAGGTATTACATTTTGTTGAATCACCCAGAAAACTGATGTCTTTATGTGATATGAACAAAGTAATTTATCCTGGTCAGCAATTCCACTGCTTATGACTTCTTTAAGGAAATTTTTGAGCAAACCATACGTAAGGAATTGACAGTGGTTCATTGAATACACAAGTTTTTGTTCTGCCAGAGAAAAAGAAATTCTCCATTCATGAATTTCATGACGTCCTAATTTGTGTCCTATAGCTACAAGGTGACATCTATTTCTGACAATCTCTTGAACAACTTGACGCTGGGGCCAAGAGTGACTTCTGTCTATCCATGAGGAAGCAGATGGAGGCCAAAAATTGCAATGAAAACAATAGGCAAAATCCATAGGATAGCGACCTATACAGGGTCCATGTTCAGTGTAGGATACTGATAAAAACGATTGTCTGTATTTAGAACTGGAAATATAAAAATTGTTATTCATTTTGAACCCCGTCTCATTGAGTTCAGCTGTCATACCTCTCGATAATATTACCTGAAGTAAAGTATATCCAGGGGGACTTTCAGATCTGTCACACAGAAGGAGAGTCCTTTTACCTAACTCATGAACCTGAGCTTGATCTAAGTCCCAGACTACAATAAAACGGTTGTCAGAATACATAAAGTCCACATCTGATCCCTCCAGTCTGAATCCTTCTCGACGACTGCCACTCAATATGGCATAGTCACCATCAACTGATGATTTTCGATTCCTGAAAGTTTCTACGATGTCCATTACGTCTCTCCTGATGGTGACCTCTGTAGGAGTCCCCACTTCACGACACAGTCCAGTATACACAGACTCTGACAAACGCTGTATACCGGACTCACTGGAAGAAATAAAAATAGGTCTAAACATGCAGCATGAGTTACCCCCAATGCACACAAGAGTTTTTTCTTTGGTATTTTATGCATTTTAGTGTAATCTGTATTTTGATCTAATATTGAAATCTTTAGAGAAATATTACTTGATTTATTTTTGAATAGGGGTCTGCAATTTTCAGGGAGGGGGGCCAAGGTCATATTTAAGAAGTTACTTTACTATGCACATTAATTATGCAAATTCTATGGGGGCACCCACCCTAGATCATTGCATGAAAATGAGTAAATACTGATACAGAATCCTCACATACATTGAATAATTATGCAAATTCCATGAGTAGTACTGACACACTCACATGAAAATGAGTGATACAGGGTCCTCACATGCGTACAAGTCAACTTTTCTAAATTTCTTTAAAAATAAAACTGGATTTAAAAGTTTTCTTTTGAAATTCGATATTTCGTATTTTATGTAATATCGACCATTTATTATTAAAAATTATAATCACTACCTCAAATTTCATGTTACAATATTAACTCAAAGAGAAATAGTAAGAAAAAATGTGGAGTTTCTGAAATTGATAGAAATGGAGGGGAGAAAAAGATATATGGTCACACAAATGTTAGAAAAGGTTTCGTTAGCATTAATAAAAAAATAAAATAAAAAAAATACCGGGAGAGTTGTTTTATATATGTCCTCACAATCACTATCTACACTAATTATATGGTGGGTCACATTTTACTCTACAGCATCATAGGTGTTAATAATCATGTAACGTGCAACGCGGCCGAGCTTGGTGTTTGTGTGGTGATATGTCTTGTATCACCGAGGCGTTACACTCAGGTTTGTTAACCTGTTAACTTAGGTTTTTGTTGACCAAATAAAATTATACAATCAAATACAATATAAATGGTTTCTTCTTGATTGGACAACCACTAACTGTGGTCAACGGGTGTCTCCCGTACACAAATTTCTTCTTGTCCTACCATTCCACAAGCACTGTATCCTGGCACTTCCCCCACCTTTATTTGTGGTATGCCACCTCTCTACATAACCAAGTGACTGCCTAATTCAGGTCTTATGCCTTATGATCAACACTAAACTCTTCACTGTCTATTCCCTGCAACTATCTGCATTGTTCAGGTCTTACAATAGTATGTTAGGAAATAAACGAGTAAAGGTTTGTCTATTCCGTCACCTGAGAGGTCTCAAACGCACTCTAATACTATGTGTATTATTCCAGTGCAGTCCTCGTACAATGGCAGTCTCATACTACTTGTATGATCGTAACATTAATAATTTTTAGTGTTTAAGGCTTTGAAAGATAACGTAGGTCTAACGTTAATACGAAACTAAACGAACAACCATTTCCGTCTCATTACCCCCACTCAAGATTATATGCGTCCCGCATATGATTTATTATTTACAATATTTACATCTATATATAAATCTGTGCAATGCCTGACAACTTGTGACTTTTTAATATAAAACGTAGTCTTCCATCCACTGTGGTTTTCTCCTACGTCTAACAGGGATGTCGTCTCCATCAAAATGGTTATTTGACTTTTGTTCTTCCCCTGCTACATCACCTAAAGGTTCAGGCTCGTCTTCTGGTGCCGTCCTCTCATCATCAGGCGTTTCACCTTGTAATGTTTGAGGGTACCTGCGACACATTCTGTCAACGTGTATCACTTATGGTATTCCACCACGTCCACAGTCAACCTTGAAGGTAATATCTGTCATCTTTGAAAGCACCTTGTAAGGACCTCGCCAGTAACTGGTAAACTGTGGCGAGCGACCTGTCTTCCTAATTGGAAAGAACACATAGACTTTGCAGTTTGGCTTAAGTTCCTGCCATGACAACTTTTGGTCGTGATACTTCTTTTGTCTAACCTTGGCTGTTTTTATGTTCTCTCTGACATGTTTGTGAGCACTTTCCATGGTTTCTTTTAATTCTCAAGCCTATTTGTCTTTAGGAATATTCTTCAGGGACCGGGGCATTTCAAACATGATGTCAGGTGGTGTTGACACTTCTCTTCCCAGCATCAGGTAATTGGGTGTGTAGCCAGTTGTTTCATGAACGGAAACCCTGTCAGCCATCATTACAAATGGTAGGTGTTTGTCCCAATCTGAATGATAGTCGTTCACGTAAGCGCTCAACATTGTCACGAGCGTCTTGTTAAAACGCTCTACCATTCCATCACTTTGCGGATGATAGGGGCTGGTCCGCGTTTTCTTAATTTGCAGAACCTGGCACATCTCCTCAAAATGCGCACTCTCATATTGTCGACCTTGGTCAGAGTGAATTACTGATGGCACGCCGGACCGGGCAATCACTTATTCAACAATTAGATTTGCCACCGTCTTGGCTTCCATGTTCGGGGTAGGGAAGGACTCGGTCCATTTCGTGAAATAGTCCGATACCACCAATATATATTTATGTGCTCTTAAATACTGAAACTGATGAACAATTCGGTTCATGTGAACCTGAAGCACATTTGCAGCTCTGTTCTGCAGCATGTTAAATAATAAAGAGGGTGTGTGTGTGTATAGAGCATTTATTAGAAATGCCAAATGAGATTACAGATTTTACAATATCAGAATGCAGCAGAAGGTGGGGCCCAAAACATCCCACACCTTATACAAAAGAAAACTAGTACATATATTTTCTACAAAATTAACAATAAGTACCTTATACAAAAGAAACTAGTACATCTATTTTCTACAATAACAAAAGTTATGCAATAACAAAAGGCACCTTATATAAAAGAAACTAGTACATGTATTTTCTACAATAACAATAATTATGGAGGATTGAAGGGGTGGTGGTGGGTAAAATTTGTAAACCACATTTTGGAGCCGAAAT